GGTACAGCTGACCTGGGTGGTACAGCTGACCTGGGTGGTACAGCTGATCTGGGTGGTACAGCCGGTGTGGTTTACCTGGGTGGTACAGCTGACCTGGCTGGTACAGCTGACCTGGGTGGTACAGCTGACCTGGGTGGTACAGCTGATCTGGGTGGTACAGCCGGTGTGGTTTACCTGGGTGGTACAGCTGACCTGGGTCGTACAGCTGACCTGGGTGGTACAGCTGACCTGGCTGGTACAGCTGATCTGGGTGGTACAGCCGGTGTGGTTTACCTGGGTGGTACAGCTGACCTGGGTGGTACAGCGGACCTGGGTGGTACAGCTGACCTGGGTGGTACAGCTGACCTAGGTGGTACAGCTGACCTGGGTGGTACAGCTGACCTGGCTGGTACAGCTGACCTGGGTGGAACAGCCGGTGTGGTTTACCTGGGTGGTACAGCTGACCTGGCTGGTACAGCTGACCTGGCTCTTACAGCTGACCTGGGTGGTACAGCCGGTGTGGTTGACCTTGGTGGTACAGCTGACCTGGGTGGTACAGCTGACCTGGGTGGCACAGCTGACCTTGGTGGTACAGCTGACCTGGGTGGTACAGCTGACCTGGGTGGCACAGCTGACCTGGGTGGTACAGCTGCCTCTGGGTGGTACAGCTGGCCTGGCTGGTACAGCTGACCTCGCTGGTACAGCTGACCTGGCTGGTACAGCTGACCTGGGTGGTACAGCCGGTGTGGTTTGCCTGGGTGGTACAGCTGACCTGGCTGGTACAGCTGACCTGGTTGGTACAGCTGACCTGGGTGGTACAGCCGGTGTAGTTTACCTGGGTGGTACAGCTGACCTGGCTGGTACAGCTGCCTCTGGGTGGTACAGCTGACCTGGGTGGTACAGCTGCCTCTGGGTGGTACAGCTGACCTGGGTGGTACAGCTGACCTGGGTGGTACAGCTGGCCTGGCTGGTACAGCTGACCTGGGTGGTACAGCTGCCTCTGGGTGGTACAGCTGACCTAGGTGGTACAGCTGACCTGGGTGGTACAGCTGACCTGGCTGGTACAGCTGACCTGGCTGGTACAGCTGACCTGGGTGGTACAGCCGGTGTGGTTTACCTGGGTGGTACAGCTGACCTGGGTGGTACAGCTGACCTGGGTGGTACAGCTGACCTGGGTGGTACAGCTGACCTGGCTGGTACAGCTGACTTGCGTGGTACAGCCGGTGTGGTTGGTATAGCTGACCTGGGTGGTACAGCTGCCTCTGGGTGGTACAGCTGACCTGGCTGGTACAGCTGACCTGGCTGGTACAGCTGACCTGGGTGGTACAGCCGGTGTGGTTTACCTGGGTGGTACAGCTGACCTGGGTGGTACAGCCCAAGGCGGTAACGCGTCGACCTTTCACAGTGAAGCCACCACCTGTCACTGCGTGCGGTGTGGAGTGGAACGTCGCTCTGGGGGAGAGACAAAGGCGGCCGGGCGTGGTGGTGGTGGTTGCGGCCACACCACCACCCACCTCTGTGTGTGTGTGTGCGCTATAGTGCCGGAAGCCTTCATAGGCACTGCTGCTGCTGCTACTACTAACAGCACTTGCCCCTACAGTCTGCTAAGGTCACACGGGAAGGGTACCTTTGTATTTAGCTTTGTATTTGTGTGACTCAAACAGTGACAGGTATAGGGACTCGCCCACTCGCTCACTCACTCGCTCGCTCATTCGCTCACCCACTCACCCGCCCGCTCACTCGCTCACCCACTCATCCGCTCGCTCGCTCGCTCACTAGCTCACCCACTCACTCACCCACTCACCCGCTCATTCGCTCACCCACTCACCCGCCCACTCATTCGCTCACCCACTCACCCGCCCGCTTACTCGCTCACCCGCTCACCCGCTCACCCACTCACCCACTCACTCACCCACTTACCGATCACTTACCCACTCACCCACTCGCCCACCCACTCACCCACTCACTCACTCACCCACCCACTCATCCACTCACCCACTAACTGCTCACTCACCCACTCACTCACCAACTCACACACTCACCCACCCACTCACCCACCCACTCACCCACCCACGCATCCACTCACTCACCAACTCACCCACTCACCCACTCACTCACTCACCAATTCACCCACCCACTCACCCACTCACTCACCAACTCACCCACTCACTCACCCACCCACTCACCCACCCACTCACCCACCCACTCATTCACTCACTCACCAACTCACCCACTCACCCACTCACCCACTCATCCACCAACTCACTCACCTAGTCATCCACCCACCCACTCACCCACTCACTCACCCTGTCAGTCACTCACCCACTCACTCACTCACCCACCCACCCACTCATTCACCAATTCACCCACTCACCCACCCACTCACTCACCGACTCACCCACCAACTCACCCACCCACCCACTCACCCACTCACTCACTCACCCACTCACTCACTCACCCACCCACTCATTCACCAATTAACCCACTCACCCACCCACTCACTCACCGACTCACTCACCAACTCACCCACCCACCCACTCACCCACTCACTCACCCACTCACTCACTCACCCACCCACCCACCCACTCACCCACTCACTCACTCACCCATCCACTCACTCACCCACCCACTCACTCACCGACTCACTCACCAACTCACCCACCCACCCACTCACCCACTCACTCACCCACTCACCCATCCACTCACTCACCCACTCACTCACTCACCCACTCACTCATCCACCCACCTACTCACCCACTCACTCACTCACCCACTCACTCACTCACCCACTCACCCACTCACTCACTCGCTCACCCACTCACTCACCCACTCACCCCACGTGCTGTGTATGACACTTGACACTGCGCTGTCTGTCACGTGATCCGTCAGTGCCACGTGATCCCTCGCCACAGAATCGGGGCATCGCCACCACCATCACAACCACCATCATCATCACCACTACCACCATCACCACCATCACCACCTCCAGCATCACCACCACCATAATCACCACCACCATAATCACCACCATCATCACCACGATCGTCATCATCACCACCACCACCATCACCACCATCACCACCATCATCATCATCACCACCATCACCACCATCATCACTACCATCACCACCACCATCATCACCACCACCATCATCACCACCACCATCATCATCATCACCATCATCATCACCACCATCAACACCAAACACAGAGCTCCCCCAGGTAGCCTATAACAGGCTGTAGGGGCAAGTGCTGTCACTAGCAGCAGCGCTGCCTATGAAGGCTACCGGCCACTGTGGCACACACAGAGGGGGTGGGTGGCTGGCACCACCACGCCCGGCCGCCTTTGTCTCTCCCCGCCCCCCCCCCCCTCGGTGACAACGAGAACCCTTCCCCCAGGTGGTGATGATGGTGGTGCTGATGATGGTGATGATGATGGTGGTGGTGATGATGGTGGTGATGATGATGGTGATGATGATGGTGGTGGTGGTGATGATGGTGATGCTGACACACAGACAGACACACACAGACAGACACACACACAGAGACACATACAGACACACACAGACACACACACAGACACACACACATACACAGACACACACATACACACATGGACACACACACACAGACACACACAGACACATAGACTGACACACACAGACACACACTCACAGACACACACACACAGACACACACATACACAGACACACACAGACACACACTCACAGACACACTCACAGACTGACACACACACAGACACACACACAGACACACACACATACACACACAGACACACACACATACACACACAGACACACACACATACACACACAGACACCCACACAGACACTGACACACATACACACACACAGACACACACACACACAGACACACATAGACACACACTCACAGACACACACAGACAGACACTCACACACTCACAAAGACACATACAACAACAACCGCCATTCGCCACTAAGTGGCGGTGACGTCACCACGACGCTTGTGCCAGGCCATGTGCACCTTGAGGCCACGTGAAGTGTCACATTTAGTTCGTGGTTTAGTGATAATTTATTGAAGGTGGAGGGGTTACCAGCCCCTCGCACCCGTCCAGAGCACACACACACCAATATCCGCCATTCACATCCACAGCGGCCTGTGCCAGGCTAGGTGCAGGAGGAGGTCACGTGACAGACCCAGCAGGTGCCACGGGTTGACTGCTGTGCCAGGCTAGGTGCAGGAGGAGGTCACGGGGCAGACCCTGCAGGTGCCATGGGTTGACTGCAGTGCCAGGCTAGGTGCAGGAGGAGGTCACGTGACAGACCCTGCACGTGCCATGGGTTGACTGCTGCGCCAGGCTAGGTGCAGGAGGAGGTCACGTGACAGACCCAGCACGTGCCATGGGTTGACTGCTGTGCCACGCTAGGTGAGGGTAACAATGGTAACGATGGTAACCATGGTAACGACTGGATGGTAACGACGGTAACGATGTGACGGTGGCGATGGTAACCACGGTAACCACGGTGACGACGGTGACGACGGTAACCACGGTGACGACGGTGACGACGGTAACCACGGTGACGACGGTAACCATGGTAACCACAGTGACGACGTTGACGACGGTAACCACGGTAACCACGGTAACCACGGTAACGACGGTGACGACGATAACCACAGTGACGACGGTAACCATGGTGACGATGGTAACCATGGTGACTACCGTAACGACGGTAACCACGGTGACAACGGTAACCACGGTAACCACGGCAACGACGGTAACCACGGTGACGACGGTGACGACGGTAACCATGGTGACGATGGTAACCACGGTGACCATGGCGACGACGGTAACCATGGCGACGACGGTAACCATGGCGACGACGGTAACCACGGTGACGACGGTGACGACGGTAACGACGGTAACCACGGTGACGATGGTAACCACGGTGACCACGGTAACGACGGTAACCACGGTGACCACGGTGACGACGGTAACCATGGCGACGACGTTGTTGCAGAGTCGTGTGGAGTGGGTGGAGAGGGCTCCCAGCCCAGCTACGAGGCGCTGCGAGCGATCCACAAACAGCTGGACGATGACGCCAACGGTGACGTCGACGTGGAGGAGAGCGGCGAGGTGACAACCTCCTCCACCTCATCATCATCGTCATCATCGTCATCATAGTCATCATCATCGTCATCATCATAGTCATCATCATCGTAGTCATCATCATCATAGTCATCATCATCATAGTCACCATCATCATAGTCGTCATCATCATCATCATAGTCATCATCATCATCATAGTCATCATCATCATCATAGTCATCATCATCATAGTCATCATCATAGTCATCATCATCATCGTCATCGTCGTCATCGTCGTCATCACTGCGAGCGATCCACAAACAGCTGGACGATGACGCCAACGGGGACGTCGACGTGGAGGAGAGCGGCGAGGTGACAACCTCCTCCACCTCATCATCATCATCATCATAGTCATCATAGTCATCATCATCATAGTCATCATCATCATCATAGTCATCATCATAGTCATCATCATAGTCATCATCATAGTCATCATCATCGTAGTCATCATCATAGTCATCATCATAGTCATCATCATAGTCATCATCATCGTCGTCATCACTGCGAGCGATCCACAAACAGCTGGACGATGACGCCAACGGGGACGTCGACGTGGAGGAGAGCGGCGAGGTGACAACCTCCTCCACCTCATCATCATCATCATCATAGTCATCATAGTCATCATCATCATCATCGTCATCATCATAGTCATCATCATCGTAATCATCATCATCATAGTCATCATCATCATAGTCATCATCATCATAGTCACCATCATCATAGTCGTCATCATCATCATCATAGTCATCATCATCATCATAGTCATCATCATCATAGTCATCATCATAGTCATCATCATAGTCATCATCATCATCATCATCGTCATCGTCGTCATCACTGCGAGCGATCCACAAACAGCTGGACGATGACGCCAACGGGGACGTCGACGTGGAGGAGAGCGGCGAGGTGACAACCTCCTCCACCTCATCATCATCATCATCGTCATCATAGTCATCATCATCATCATCGTCATCATCATAGTCATCATCATCGTAATCATCATCATCATAGTCATCATCATCATAGTCATCATCATCATAGTCACCATCATCATAGTCGTCATCATCATCATCATAGTCATCATCATCATCATAGTCATCATCATCATAGTCATCATCATAGTCATCATCATAGTCATCATCATCATCATCGTCATCATCATCATCATCGTCATCGTCGTCATCACTGCGAGCGATCCACAAACAGCTGGACGATGACGCCAACGGGGACGTCGACGTGGAGGAGAGCGGCGAGGTGACAACCTCCTCCACCTCATCATCGTCATCATAGTCATCATCATCGTCATCATCATCATAGTCATCACCATAGTCATCATCATAGTCATCATCGTAGTCATCATCATAGTCGTTATCATCATCATAGTCATCATCATCATAGTCATCATCATCATCATCATAGTCATCATCATCATCATCGTCGTCACCACTGCGAGCGATCCACAAACAGCTGGACGATGACGCCAACGGGGACGTCGACGTGGAGGAGAGCGGCGAGGTGACAACCTCCTCCACCTCATCATCATCATCATCATAGTCATCATAGTCATCATCATCATCATCGTCATCATCATAGTCATCATCATCGTAATCATCATCATCATAGTCATCATCATCATAGTCATCATCATCATAGTCACCATCATCATAGTCGTCATCATCATCATCATAGTCATCATCATCATCATAGTCATCATCATCATAGTCATCATCATAGTCATCATCATAGTCATCATCATCATCATCATCGTCATCGTCGTCATCACTGCGAGCGATCCACAAACAGCTGGACGATGACGCCAACGGGGACGTCGACGTGGAGGAGAGCGGCGAGGTGACAACCTCCTCCACCTCATCATCATCATCATCGTCATCATAGTCATCATCATCATCATCGTCATCATCATAGTCATCATCATCGTAATCATCATCATCATAGTCATCATCATCATAGTCATCATCATCATAGTCACCATCATCATAGTCGTCATCATCATCATCATAGTCATCATCATCATCATAGTCATCATCATCATAGTCATCATCATAGTCATCATCATAGTCATCATCATCATCATCGTCATCATCATCATCATCGTCATCGTCGTCATCACTGCGAGCGATCCACAAACAGCTGGACGATGACGCCAACGGGGACGTCGACGTGGAGGAGAGCGGCGAGGTGACAACCTCCTCCACCTCATCATCATCATCATCATAGTCATCATAGTCATCATCATCATCATCGTCATCATCATAGTCATCATCATCGTAATCATCATCATCATAGTCATCATCATCATAGTCATCATCATCATAGTCACCATCATCATAGTCGTCATCATCATCATCATAGTCATCATCATCATCATAGTCATCATCATCATAGTCATCATCATAGTCATCATCATAGTCATCATCATCATCATCATCGTCATCGTCGTCATCACTGCGAGCGATCCACAAACAGCTGGACGATGACGCCAACGGGGACGTCGACGTGGAGGAGAGCGGCGAGGTGACAACCTCCTCCACCTCATCATCATCATCATCGTCATCATAGTCATCATCATCATCATCGTCATCATCATAGTCATCATCATCGTAATCATCATCATCATAGTCATCATCATCATAGTCATCATCATCATAGTCACCATCATCATAGTCGTCATCATCATCATCATAGTCATCATCATCATCATAGTCATCATCATCATAGTCATCATCATAGTCATCATCATAGTCATCATCATCATCATCGTCATCATCATCATCATCGTCATCGTCGTCATCACTGCGAGCGATCCACAAACAGCTGGACGATGACGCCAACGGGGACGTCGACGTGGAGGAGAGCGGCGAGGTGACAACCTCCTCCACCTCATCATCGTCATCATAGTCATCATCATCGTCATCATCATCATAGTCATCACCATAGTCATCATCATAGTCATCATCGTAGTCATCATCATAGTCGTTATCATCATCATAGTCATCATCATCATAGTCATCATCATCATCATCATAGTCATCATCATCATCATCGTCGTCACCACTGCGAGCGATCCACAAACAGCTGGACGATGACGCCAACGGGGACGTCGACGTGGAGGAGAGCGGCGAGGTGACAACCTCCTCCACCTCATCATCATCATCATCATAGTCATCATAGTCATCATCATCATCATCGTCATCATCATAGTCATCATCATCGTAATCATCATCATCATAGTCATCATCATCATAGTCATCATCATCATAGTCACCATCATCATAGTCGTCATCATCATCATCATAGTCATCATCATCATCATAGTCATCATCATCATAGTCATCATCATAGTCATCATCATAGTCATCATCATCATCATCGTCATCATCATCATCATCGTCATCGTCGTCATCACTGCGAGTGATCCACAAACAGCTGGACGATGACGCCAACGGGGACGTCGACGTGGAGGAGAGCGGCGAGGTGACAACCTCCTCCACCTCATCATTGTCATCGTCATCATAGTCATCATAGTCATCATCATAGTCATCATCATTATAGTCATCATCATAGTCATCATAGTCATCATCATCATAGTCATCGTCATCATCATCATAGTCATCATCATCCTAGTCATCATCGTAGTCATCATAGTCATCATCATTATAGTCATCATCATAGTCATCATAGTCATCATCATCATAGTCATCGTCATCATCATCATAGTCATCATCATCCTAGTCATCATCGTAGTCATCATAGTCATCATCATTATAGTCATCATCATAGTCATCATCATCATCATAGTCATCGTCATCATCATCATAGTCATCATCGTCATCGTCGTCATCACTGCGAGCGATCCACAAACAGCTGGACGATGACGCCAACGGTGACGTCGACGTGGAGGAGAGCGGCGAGGTGACAACCTCCTCCTCCTCATCATCATCATCATCGTCATCATCGTCATCATCATTATAGTCATCATCATCGTCATCATCATAGTCATCATCATCATCATAGTCATCATCATCATCATAGTCATCATCATCATCATAGTCATCATCATATTCATCATCATCATCTCCCCGTGTCTCCCCGTGTCTCCCCATGTCTCCCCATGTATGTCTCCCCGTGTCTCCCCATATGTGTCCCCGTGTCTCCCCATGTGTGTCTCCCCGTGTCTCCCCACCGTGTCTCCCCACCGTGTCTCCTCCTCCTCGTCCTGTGCGTCTCAGTTTCTGCGAGAGGATCTCAATGACCAGAACGCCGCCGTGAAGCATTCCACATTCCACGCGGGAGACCAGCACATCAGCCTGGACGACCTGTGGAGGTCATGGCGCAGGTCGCAGGGTGAGTGATCAATGCCGATCAATTACCCATCAATATTGATTAATGCAGACACCTACACCAGCCTGGACGACCTGTGGAGGTCATGGCGCAGGTCGCAGTGTTAGCGATCGATACTTATCAATAATGAGCAACACCGATCAATACAGACACCCACATTGAGCCTGGATGACCTGTGGAGGTCATGGCACAGGTCGCAGGGTTAGCGATCAATACATACCAATACCGATCAATACATGAATACCGCAGAGATCCAGGCGGTACCAGTCCAGCTCCTGACGGATCAGTGGCAGCCTTTCTCTTACACACTCGCACCAGAGCCAGTCCACCAGACGTCCTGAATACCGTAGAGATCCAGGCGGTACCGGTCCAGCTCCTGACGGATCAGTGGCAGCCTTTCTCTCTTACACACTCACCCGAGCCAGTCCACCAGACCTCCTGAATACCGCAGAGATCCAGGCGGTACCGGTCCAGCTCCATTGTTATTGAGCTGGTCTGGCCCATGCCTTCCAATCACTCCAGACCAAGTTCCAGCATCATGACCAACTCGGGCATTAAAGTCACCCAACAAGATGACTCTATCCCGAGGGGCCACTTTAGCCAGCACCTGTGACAGGAGGTCATAGAAGGCATCTGACTCATCGGCCTTGCCTGCATCCCTCCACGGATGTTCGTCTTCGGTGGGGGCATAAGTAACCACGACCAGCACTCCTCGCCTCCGGTTGATGGGAAGGCGAGCCCAAAGTAGCCCGGGGCTTACAGCTTCCCACACCTCACCCTCCACGCTCCCACGCCCCCTTCAATGTTTTGTTCAGAAGAAGAGCCACACCCAGCTGTTTGGCGGTCTCCTGCCCCGAGTAAAGGACTGTCCACCCCTCATGGTGGCAGGAGCCAGAGCCGGTCCACCGGACCTCCTGAATGCCACATAGATCCAGGCGGTACCGGTCCAGCTCCCGACGGATGAGTGGCAGCCTCTCCTCCGCAGTGAGCGTTCGAACATTCCACGTGGCCACCCTCAGTGGCTTCTCGCCGTTTCTGGAGGAGCCCCGAGGGTAGAGATTCAATCTCCTGGCTCCGCCAATTGGGGTTTGGCCAGGAGATGTCACGGACGCCTGTCCCCCCGGGGGGCCTCCGGCACAAGCTTAGCCGGATAGTTTCAGGCCGCGGTTCTCGTGGTAATTAAATTGAAGGTGGAGGGGTTTGCCAGTCCCTCGTCGCCCGTTCCAGAGCCCCCATCTGGCCGCCGCGGTGGCTACAAACGCCACGAGGAGCAATTGCGGTGGTTGTGGTGGATGTGGTGGTTGTGGTGATGGTGGTGGTGGTGGTGGTCGTGACGGTGGTTGTGTTAGCGGTTGTGATGGTGGTGCAGTGTACAACTGGACGAGGTGGCGATGGTGGCGATGGTGGTGATGGTGGTGGTCGTGATGGTGATGGTAGTAGTAATTGTGTTGGTGATGGTGTTGGTTGTGGTGGTGATGGTGGTTGGTGATGGTTGTGGTGGTGGTTGTGGTGGTACAGTGTACAACTGGACAGTGCACGAGGTGGTTGTTGATGGCGGTTGTGTTGGTGATGGTGGTTGTGTTGGTGATGGTGGTTGTGTTGGTGATGGTGTTGGTTGCGGTGACGATGGTTGTTGTTGTTGTGGTTGTGGTGGTTGTAGTTGTGGTGGTACAGTGTACAACTGGACAGTGCACGAGGTGGTTGTTGATGGTGGTTGTGTTGGTGATGGTGGTTGTGTTGGTGATGGCGTTTGTGTTGGTGCTGGTGGTTGTGTTGGTGTTGGTTGTGGTGATGGTGGTTGTTGTTGTTGTGGTGGTTGTGGTGGTGGTGGTACAGTGTACAACTGGGCAGTGCACGAGGTGGTTGTTGATGGCGGTTGTGTTGGTGATGGTGGTTGTGTTGGTGATGGCGGTTCTGTTGGTGATGGTGGTTGTGTTGGTGATGGCGGTTCTGTTGGTGATGGTGGTTGTGTTGGTGATGGTGATTGTGTTGGTGATGGTGGTTGTGTTGGTGATGGTGATTGTGTTGGTGATGGTGATTGTGTTGGTGATGGTGGTTGTGTTGGTGATGGTGATTGTGTTGGTGATGGTGGTTGTGTTGGTGATGGTGGTTGTGTTGGTGATGGTGGTTGTGTTGGTGATGGTGGTTGTGTTGGTGATGGTGATTGTGTTGGTGATGGTGGTTGTGTTGGTGATGGTGATTGTGTTGGTGATGGTGATTGTGTTGGTGATGGTGATTGTGTTGGTGATGGTGGTTGTGTTGGTGATGGTGATTGTGTTGGTGATGGTGATTGTGTTGGTGATGGTGATTGTGTTGGTGATGGCGGTTGTGTTGGTGATGGTGGTTGTGTTGGTGATGGTGGTTGTGTTGGTGATGGCGGTTGTGTTGGTGATGGTGGTTGTGTTGGTGATGGTGATTGTGTTGGTGATGGTGGTTGTGTTGGTGATGGTGATTGTGTTGGTGATGGTGATTGTGTTGGTGATGGTGATTGTGTTGGTGATGGTGATTGTGTTGGTGATGGTCATTGTGTTGGTGATTGTGTTGGTGATGGTGGTTGTGTTGGTGATGGTGATTGTGTTGGTGATGGTGATTGTGTTGGTGATGGTGGTTGTGTTGGTGATGGTGGTTGTGTTGGTGATGGTGGTTGTGTTGGTGATGGCGGTTGTGTTGGTGATGGTGGTTGTGTTGGTGATGGTGATTGTGTTGGTGATGGTGGTTGTGTTGGTGATGGTGATTGTGTTGGTGATGGTGGTTGTGTTGGTGATGGTGTTGGTTGCGGTGACGATGGTTGTTGTTGTTGTTGTGGTGGTTGTGGTGGTTGTGTTGGTGATGGTGGTTGTGTTGGTGATGGTGTTGGTTGCGGTGACGATGGTTGTTGTTGTTGTTGTGGTGGTTGTGGTGGTGGTGGTACAGTGTACAACTGGACAGTGCACGAGGTGGTGCGCTGGCTGGTGGACTGCGTGGAGCTGCCCCAGTACGCACAGAGCTTCCACGCTCACCACGTCAACGGCACAATGATGCCTCGGTGAGGGACGCTCACCACGCTCACCACGCTCACCACGCTCACCACGCTCACCACACTCACTAAAACCATGCTCACCACACTCACCACGCCCAGAGCTTCCACGCTCACCACGTCAACGGCACAATGATGCCTCGGTGAGGGACGCTCACCACGCTCACCACGCTCACCACGCTCACCACGCTCACTAAAACCACGCTCACCACACTCACCACGCCCAGAGCTTCCACGCTCACCACGTCAACGGCACAATGATGCCTCGGTGAGGGACGCTCACCACGCTCACCACGCTCACCACGCTCACCACGCTCACTAAAACCACGCTCACCACACTCACCACGCCCAGAGCTTCCACGCTCACCACGTCAATGGCACAATGATGCCTCGGTGAGGGACGCTCACCACGCTCACCACACTCACTAAAACCATGCTCACCACACTCACCACGCCCAGAGCTTCCACGCTCACCACGTCAATGGCACAATGATGCCTCGGTGAGGGACGCTCACCACGCTCACCACACTCACTAAAACCACGCTCACCACACTCACCACGCCCAGAGCTTCCACGCTCACCACGTCAACGGCACAATGATGCCTCGGTGAGGGACGCTCACCACGCTCACCACGCTCACCACGCTCACCACGCTCACTAAAACCACGCTCACCACACTCACCACGCCCAGAGCTTCCACGCTCACCACGTCAATGGCACAATGATGCCTCGGTGAGGGACGCTCACCACGCTCACCACACTCACTAAAACCATGCTCACCACACTCACCACGCCCAGAGCTTCCACGCTCACCACGTCAATGGCACAATGATGCCTCGGTGAGGGACGCTCACCACGCTCACCACACTCACTAAAACCACGCTCACCACACTCACCACGCCCAGAGCTTCCACGCTCACCACGTCAATGGCACAATGATGCCTCGGTGAGGGACGCTCACCACGCTCACCACGCTCACCACGCTCACCACGCTCACTAAAACCACGCTCACCACACTCACCACGCCCAGAGCTTCCACGCTCACCACGTCAATGGCACAATGATGCCTCGGTGAGGGACGCTCACCACGCTCACCACGCTCACCACGCTCACCACGCTCACTAAAACCACGCTCACCACACTCACCACGCCCAGAGCTTCCACGCTCACCACGTCAATGGCACAATGATGCCTCGGTGAGGGACGCTCACCACGCTCACCACGCTCACCACGCTCACCACGCTCACTAAAACCACGCTCACCACACTCACCACGCCCAGAGCTTCCACGCTCACCACGTCAATGGCACAATGATGCCTCGGTGAGGGACGCTCACCACGCTCACCACACTCACTAAAACCATGCTCACCACACTCACCACGCCCAGAGCTTCCACGCTCACCACGTCAATGGCACAATGATGCCTCGGTGAGGGACGCTCACCACGCTCACCACACTCACTAAAACCATGCTCACCACACTCACCACGCCCAGAGCTTCCACGCTCACCACGTCAATGGCACAATGATGCCTCGGTGAGGGACGCTCACCACGCTCACCACGCTCACCACGCTCACCACGCTCACCACACTCACTAAAACCATGCTCACCACACTCACCACGCCCAGAGCTTCCACGCTCACCACGTCAATGGCACAATGATGCCTCGGTGAGGGACGCTCACCACGCTCACCACGCTCACCACGCTCACCACGCTCACCACACTCACCACGCTCACCACGCTCACCACACTCACCACGCCCAGAGCTTCCACGCTCACCACGTCAACGGCACAATGATGCCTCGGTGAGGGACGCTCACCACGCTCACCACGCTCACCACGCTCACCACGCTCACCACACTCACCACGCTCACCACGCTCACCACACTCACCACGCCCAGAGCTTCCACGCTCACCACGTCAACGGCACAATGATGCCTCGGTGATGGACGCTCACCACGCTCACCACGCTCACCACGCTCACCACGCTCACCACGCTCACCACACTCACCACGCTCACCACGCTCACCACGCTCACCACGCCCAGAGCTTCCACGCTCACCACGTCAACGGCACAATGATGCCTCGGTGAGGGACGCTCACCACGCTCACCACGCTCACCACGCTCACCACGCTCACCACGCTCACCACGCTCACCACACTCACCACGCCCAGAGCTTCCACGCTCACCACGTCAACGGCACAATGATGCCTCGGTGAGGGACGCTCACCACGCTCACCACGCTCACCACGCTCACCACGCTCACCACGCTCACCACACTCACCACGCTCACCACGCTCACCACACTCACCACGCCCAGAGCTTCCACGCTCACCACGTCAACGGCACAATGATGCCTCGGTGAGGGACGCTCACCACGCTCACCACGCTCACCACGCTCACCACGCTCACCACACTCACCACGCTCACCACGCTCACCACACTCACCACGCCCAGAGCTTCCACGCTCACCACGTCAACGGCACAATGATGCCTCGGTGAGGGACGCTCACCACGCTCACCACGCTCACCACGCTCACCACGCTCACCACGCTCACCACGCTCACCACACTCACCACGCCCAGAGCTTCCACGCTCACCACGTCAACGGCACAATGATGCCTCGGTGAGGGACGCTCACCACGCTCACCACGCTCACCACGCTCACCACGCTCACCACACTCACCACTCTCACCACGCTCACCACGCTCACCACACTCACCACGCCCAGAGCTTCCACGCTCACCACGTCAACGGCACAATGATGCCTCGGTGAGGGACGCTCACCACGCTCACCACGCTCACCACGCTCACCACGCTCACCACACTCACCACGCTCACCACGCTCACCACACTCACCACGCCCAGAGCTTCCACGCTCACCACGTCAACGGCACAATGATGCCTCGGTGAGGGACGCTCACCACGCTCACCACGCTCACCACGCTCACCACGCTCACCACGCTCACCACGCTCACCACGCTCACCACACTCACCACGCCCAGAGCTTCCACGCTCACCACGTCAACGGCACAATGATGCCTCGGTGAGGGACGCTCACCACGCTCACCACGCTCACCACGCTCACCACGCTCACCACGCTCACCACGCTCACCACGCTCACCACGCTCACCACACTCACTAAAACCATGCTCACCACACTCACCACGCCCAGAGCTTCCACGCTCACCACGTCAATGGCACAATGATGCCTCGGTGAGGGACGCTCACCACGCTCACCACGCTCACCACACTCACCACGCTCACCACGCTCACTCAAACCACACTCACCACGCTCACCACGCTCACCACGCTCACTCAAACCACACTCACCACGCTCACCACGCTCACTTAAACCACGCTCACCACGCTCACCACACTCACCACTCTCACCACGCCCACCACACTCACCACACTCACCACGCTCACCACACTCACCACTCTCACCACACTCACTCAAACCACGCTCACCACGCCCACCACGCTCACCAAGCTCACCACACTCACCACACTCACCACGATCACCATGCTCACCAAACCCACCATGCCCACCACTCTCACCACACTCACCACACTCACCACGCTCACCACGCTCACCACACTCACCACGCCCACCACACACACCACGCTCACCACACTCACCACACTCACCACGCTCACCACACTCACTCAAACCACACTCACCACGCTCACCACGCCCACCACGCTCACCACGCTCACCACACTTACTCAAACCACGCTCACCAAGCTCACCACACTCACCACTCTCACCACGCCCACCACACTCACCACACTCACCACGCTCACCACACTCACCACGCCCACCACGCTCACCAAGCTCACCACACTCACCACACTCACCACGATCACCATGCTCACCACACCCACCACGCCCACCACACTCACCAAACTCACCACACTCACCACGCTCACCACGCTCACCACGCTCACCACGCTCACCACGCTCACCACACTCACTCAAACCACACTCACCACACTCACCACGCCCACCACGCTCACCACGCTCACCACACTTACTCAAACCACGCTCACCAAGCTCACCACACTCACCACTCTCACCACGCCCACCACACTCACCACACTCACCACGCCCACCACACTCACCACACTCACCACGCCCACCACACTCACCACACTCACCACGCTCACCACGCTCACCACACTCACCACTCTCACCACACTCACTCAAACCACGCTCACCACGCCCACTACGCTCACCAAGCTCACCACACTCACCACACTCACCACGATCACCACGCTCACCACACTCACTCAAACCACGCTCACCACACTCACCACGCCCACCACACTCACAACACTCACCACACTCACCACACTCACCATGCCCACCACACTCACCACGCTCACCACACTCACCACGCCCACCACACTCACCACGCTCACCACGCTCACCACACTCACCAAGCTCACCACACTGACCACGCCCACCACACTCACCACGCTCACCATGCCCAGAGCTTCCACGCTCACCACGTCAACGGCACGATGATGCCTCGGTGAGGGACGCTCACCACGCTCACCACGCTCACCACGCTCACCACGCTCACCACGCTCACCCATCACCACGCTCACCACACTCACCACGCTCACCACACTCACCACGCTCACCACACTCACCACGCTCACTCATCACCACTCTCACCACACTCACTCAAACCACGCTCACCATGCTCACTCATCACCACACTCACCACACTCACCACGCTCACCACGCTCACTCATCACCACGCTCACCACACTCACCACGCTCACTCAAACCACGCTCACCACACTCACTCAAACCACGCTCACTACGCTCACCACGCTCACTCATCACCACGCTCACTCATCACCACGCTCACTCATCACCACGCTCACCACACTCACTCAAACCACGCTCACCACACTCACCACGCTCACTCATCACCACGCTCACCACGCTCACCACGCTCACTCATCACCACGCTCACCACACTCACCACACTCTGTGGTCAGCGCTATGCTGCGCTATGAACCCGGCTATGACCCCGGGCTCGATTCCCGCTCACGGCCAACACCGGTGAGGATTATCTGAACCGGTCCCGGGCCTCCTCCCCTAGGTCGACTCAGCCTCAAATGAGTACCTGGTGCGGTGTGTAAACATCGCCACTGGGGAGACAAAGGCGGTCGGGCGTGGTGCTGGCCACCCACCCCCTCGTGTACCGTGCCGGCCTTCACAGGTGCTGCTCGCTAACGGCACTTGCCCCTACAGTCTGTTAAGGCTACACGGGGGATCTTTGTCACTGTGTGTGTCACTGTGTGTGTCACTGTGTGTGTGTGTCACCTTCAATAAATTACCACTAAACCACGTGAAAATAATCTAATTAATAAGCTTGTGCCGGAGGCTCCGGGTGGAGAGGCGTCTATGACGTCTCCTGGCCAAACCCCAATTGGCGGAGCCAGGAGACTGAATCTCTACCCTCGGGGCTCCTCCAGAAACAACAAAAAGCCGCTACGGATGGCCACGTGGAATGTTCGAACGCTCACTGCGGAGGAGAGGTTGCCACTCCTCTGTCGGGAGCTGGACCGGTACCTCCTGGATCTCTGTGGCATTCAGGAGGTCCGGTGGACCAGTTCTGGCTCCTGCCACCATGAGGGGTGGACAGTCCTCTACTCGGGGCAGGAGACTGCCAAACAACAGGGTGTGGCTCTTCTTCTGAACAAAAGATTGAAGGGGGTGTGGGAGTGTGGCGGTAAGGTGTGGGAAGCTGTAAGCCCCAGGCTACTTTGGGCTCGCCTTCCCATCAACCGGAGGCGAGGAGTGGTGGTCGTGGTTACTTATTCCCCCACCAAAGACGAACATCCGTGGAGGGATGCAGGCAAAGCCGATGAGTCAGATGCCTTCTATGACCTCCTGTCACAGATGCTGGCTAAAGTGGCCCCTCGGGACTTGAATGCCTGAGTTGGCCATGATGCTGGCACCTGGTCTAGAGTGATTGGAAGGCATGGGCCAGATAAGCTCAATAACAACAGTAGGAGGCTGCTAGATTTTTGTGCAGCCCATGGGCTTGTAATTACCAACACCCTGTTCTGGCATCATTGCATCTACACAACATCATGGATGCATGCAGTGACAAAACAGCGGATGTAGGCCCATGTCCTTGACACCAGGACTTACCGTGGAGCTGATCTGCCCTCTGACCATCGACTTGTCATCTGTAAGATGCACCTGCCATTCTTCCTCTCCGGTGGTAGGTGTACACCCAGGACCCCATTCCAACCTAAGGTGGCCTGGTCTCAGCTAGCTGATGGAAGTTGCAAGCAAGAATTTCATCATCACTTGCGGCTGGGGTTGGCATCGTCCCCCACTCCTGCTGATGTCGAGGGTAAATGGGCGATGTCTAGGACTGTGACTCATGCAGCTGCAATGGCTGCTTTGGGTATGCGGTCCAGACCTCTCCAGAGACCCTGGCTGACAGAGGAGGTGTTCAGGATGGTTGAGAAAAAGTGATACCCCACTATCATCGGCTACAGCATCCCACGTCAGAGAATAAGGAGGCTTACCGCAGCATTCGCTTGGAGGTTCGGAGAGCCGTGAGGCACTGCAAGGATGGGTGGTGGTCCCGGGTTGCTGAGGGGATGGAGTCTGCCTCAATGGCCTGCGATCGCAAATCCCTATTTTACTCCATAAAAAAGTAACCTGCAGCACCACACCTATGACCATCATTAGGGGAAACAATGGTGATCCAATCTCCGACTCCCAGTAACAGGTTTGCAGATTTGCTGAGCATTTCTGTGAGGTCCAGGGGGAGGAGGAATCCCTGAGCTGGGAAAACATTTTGGGACAAAGTGGGGATGAGCCTGCTGAGGCTGCGGTGCCTCAAATATTGGAGGAGGAAGTAACCCCCTGTGAGTGGCTGGCTGAGGTGCCAACTGTTGAGGAAGTACTAAAGGCGATCCAGAGTCTGAGACCAGGAAAGGCACCGGGCCAAGATGATCTCCCAAGCGGGGCATCTCACTCCTCAGTGTGCCGGGAAAAGTCCTGGCAAGGATTATTCAACATTGCCTTGCTAGCCACGCTGAGGAGAGGCTTGTGGAGCCCCAATGCGGTTTCAGGAAAGGGCGGTCCTGCACAGATGCCATATTTTTTTGTCCGTCTGCTACAGCAGAGGTGTAGGGAATTCCAACAAGACGTACATCTCTGCTTCATTGACCTGGTCAAAGCCTATGATACCATCAGTAGGCGGTCCTGCACAGATGCCATATTTTCTGTCCGTCTGCTACAGCAGAGGTGTAGGGAATTCCAACAAGACATACATCTCTGCTTCATTGACCTGGTCAAAGCCTATGATACCATCAGTAGGCCTGGGCTCTGGCTTGTTCTTCGTGCTTTCGGAGTCCCTGACCCTCTGCTCACGATCATTAAGGACCTTCATGATGGTGAGCGGCCCCGGGTAAAACTATGTGGCCAGGAGTCGGAGCCATTCCCTGTACATCTTGGGGTGCGACAGGGATGTCCTCTTGCTCCCAAATTATTTAACATCTATTTTGACCATGTAGTTCGTGAAGCCTTCAATATCTGTACCGGGGAAATTTCCATTTGGTACAGATATAATGGGAGGCTGATCGATGCCCGGATGCGGTCAAGGGATGGCTCCCTATTGGTCAACCATGTTATATATGCCGATGATTTGGTAATAGCTGCTCATTCAGAGGAGGAGTTGGAGACGCTGCTGCTGCTGAGACTGGAGCGTGCCACTAAGAGATGGGGCCTTACCATCAGCCCCACCAAAACTAAGCACCTGCCTGGGTATTTTGTACCATCGGACACTCCACCCCCACAACTCCCAATCGGTGATGGGGCAGTTGTGGAGAGAGTGGAGAGTTTCCCATACCTCGGCAGTGTGCTTATGACTGGCTCTAGTTTAACAGCAGAGGTCTCACTCCGAATCAGTCGAGCGGCAATATCTTTTCATCGGTTGCCTAACGCTGTGTGGAAGCCACTTGGTCTGTCGCTCCGCACTAAGCTTCAGGTCTTCTCGGCCATGGTCATTCCCTCCCTTCTCTACGCTTGCGAAACGTGGACCCCCCTAATGCAACATCTTCGCCGGTTAGAAACATTTAGGCTGGCCTGCCTACGATCCATCCTGGGTTTAACCAGACTGGATTGTGTGAGGAGCTCACAAATCCTTGAAAGATCTGGGCAAGGTCCCATCGGTGAGCTCTTCTGGCGGGCAAGGCTGCGATGGCTGGGTCATGTAGCCCGCATGCCTAGCCACCGCATGCTGAAACAGCTTTTGTTCGGCCGGATTGAGGGGCTAAGCGGGCGCGGCACGGGCTAGAGAAGAGATGGAGTGATGTGGTACAGGAGGACGTGGAGCTGAGTGGACTTGCCGATGACTGGTACCAGCGGTGTCAAGATCGGCCTCTGTGGAGGAGGCTCGTGAAGGATGCTACTGGGCAGTTGGAGGTAGTCGCCCTCCAACAACAACGGAGGGCGGAGGAGCGACGCTCAGAACAACGAGCAGAGCGCCGGGTGGCTAAAGCACAGCAGGTTGGCACAGTAGGGGGCACAGGTGGTGCATCAGCCAGTCATCTCAGTCATCTCAGTCAGTCGACCCGTGGCACCTGGGTCTGCCCCGTGACCTCCTGCCAGCGGGCGTTCGACACTTCACGTGGCCTCAGGGTGCACATAGCCTGGCACAAGCGTCGTGGTGACGTCACCGCCACTTAGTGGCGAATGGCGGTTGTTGTTGTTGTGTGTCACTGTGTGTCTGTGTGTGTCTCACTGTGTGTGTGTCACTGTGTGTGTGTGTGTCACTGTGTGTGTCTCATTGTGTGTGTGTCGCTGTGTGTGTCTGTGTGTGTGTCTCACTGTGTGTGTGTCACTGTGTGTGTGTGTGTCACTGTGTGTGTACTGTGTGTGTGTGTGTCACTGTGTGTGTGTGTGTCACTGTGTGTGTCTCACTGTGTGTGTGTCACTGTGTGTGTGTCACAGGCTTGCTGTGCCAAGCCCCTTCCTGTCCACGGTGCTGAGAGTCTCCGACAGGAGCCACCGTCAGAAGCTGCAGCTCAAGGCAATGGACGTGGTGCTGTTTGGGCCTCCACCAGGTACGTCACACCTACAACTACTACACCTTCACCTACTACTACACCTACTACACATACAACAACAACCGCCATTTGCCACTCAGTGGCGGTGACGTCACCATGACGCTTGTGCCAGGCTATGTGCACCTTGAGGCCACCACCTTAAGTGTCGAACGCCCACTGGCAGGAGGTCATGGGGAAGACCCAGGTGACACAGGTTGACTGGCTGAGATGAGTGGCCGATGCACCATCTGTGCCCCCTACTGTGCCAACTTGCTGTGCTTTAGCCACCCGGCGCTCCGCTCATTGTTGTGAGCGTCGCTCCTCTGTTGTTATTGGAGGGCGACTGCCTCCAACTGCCCAGTAGCGTCCTTCACGAGCCTCCTCCACAGAGGCCGATCTTGACACCGCTGGTACCAGTCATCGGCAAGTCCACTCAGCTCCACGTCCTCCTGTACCACATCACTCCATCTCTTCTCTGGCCCGTGCCGCGCCCGTTTAGCCCCCTCGATCCGGCCAAACAAAAGCTGTTTAGGCATGCAGTGGCTGGGCATGCGGGCTACATGACCCAGCCAATGCAGCCTTGTCTGCCGGAGGAGCTCACCGATAGGACCGTGCCCAGATCTCTCAAGGATTTGTGAGCTCCTCACACAATCTAGCCTGGTTAAACCCAGGATGGATCGTAGGCAGGCCAGCCTAAATGTTTCTAACCGGCGAAGATGTTCCATTAGGGGGGTCCACGTTTCGCAAGCGTAGAGAAGGGAGGGAATGACCGTGGCCGAGAAGACCTGAAGCTTAGTGCGGAGCGACAGACCAGGTAGCTTCCACACAGCGTCACGCAACCGATGAAAAGATATTGCCGCTCGACTGATTCTGAGTGAGACCTCTGCTGTCAAACCGGAGCCGGTCATGAGCACACTGCCCAGGTATGGGAAACTCTCCGACACACTGAGGAGTGAGATGCCCCTGTAGTTGTTACAGTCTGTGCAGTCCCCCTTCTTAAAGAAGGGGATCACCAGGGCATCCTTCCATTCCTGCAGAACCCGTCCAGTGGTCCAGACTGTTTTTATGATGTCATATAGGGCAGTCTGTGCACAAACGCCGCCCTCCCTCAGCATTACGTTTGGGAGATCATCTTTGCCCAGTGCCTTTCCTGGTCTCAGACTCTGGATCACCTTTAGTACTTTCTCAACAGTTGGCACCCCAGCCAGCCACTCACAGAGGGTGACTTCTTCTTCCAATATTTGAGGCACCGCAGCTTCAGCAGGCTCATCCCCACTTTGTCCCATGATGTTTTCCCGGATGAGGGATTTCTCCTCCCCGCATGACCCTACAGAAATGTTAAGCTAATCTGAAAGCCTGTTCCTGGGGGTCAGATATTGGATCACCATTCTTTCCCCTAATGATGGTAATAGGTGTGGCGCTGCAGGTTACTTTTTTGGTGGAGTGAAATAGGGATTTGTGATCACGGGCCATTTAGGCAGACTCCATTCCCTCAACAACCCGCGACCACCACCCATCCTTGCAACGCCCCATGGCTCTCCGAACTTCCGAGCGAAGGCTGCGGTAAGCCTCCTCATTCTCTGATGTGGGATGCTGTAGACAATTAGAGTAGGCCTGTCGCATTTTCTCAGCCAGCTTGAACATTTCCTCTGTCAGCCAGGGTCTATGGAGAGGTCTGGACCGCATACCCAAAGCAGCCATTGCAGCTGCATGAGTCACAGTACTAAACCTCGCCCATTTACCCTCGACATCAGGAGGAGTGGGGGACGATTCCAACCCCATCTGCAAGCGATGATGAAATTCTCGCTTGCAACTTCCATCGGCTAGCTGAGACCAGGCCACCTTAGGTTGGAATGGGGTCCTGGGTGTACACCCACCACCGGAGTGGAAGAATGGCAGGTGCATCTTACAGATGACAAGTCGATGGTCAGAGGACAGATCAGCTCCACGGTAAGTCCTGGTGTCAAGGACATGGGCCCGCATCCGCTGTTCCGTCACTATGTAGTCCAGCAGATGTTCTTGCTTGGACCCGGCATGAATCCATGATGTTGTGTGGATGCGTCAATGCCGGAACAGCGTGTTGGTAATTACAAGCTCATGAGCTGCACAAAAATCTAGCAGCCTCCGACCGTTGTTATTGAGCTGATCTGGCCCTTGCCTTCCAATCACTTCAAACCAGGTGCCAGCATTATGACCAACTCGGGCATTGAAGCATCTGACTCATCGGCCTTGCCTGCATCCCTCCACGGATGTTCGTTTTTGGTGGGGGCATAAGTAACCACGGCCACCACTCCTCGCCTCCGGTTGATGGGAAGGCGAGCCCAAAGTAGCCTGGGGCTTACAGCTTCCCACACCTCACCGCCACACTCCCACGCCCCCTTCAATCTTTTGTTCAGAAGAAGAGCCACACCCTGTTGTTTGGCAGTCTCCTGCCCCGAGTAGAGGACTGTCCACCCCTCATGGTGGCAGGAGCCAGGGCCAGTCCACCGGACCTCCTGAATGCCACAGAGATCCAGGCGGTACCGGTCCAGCTCCGACGGAGGAGTGTGGCAGCCTGTCCTCCGCAGTGAGCGTTCGAACATTCCACGTGGCCACCCGTAGTGGCTTTTTGTTGTTTCTGGAGGAGCTCCGAGGGTAAAGATTCAATCTCCTGGCTCCGCCAAATGGGGTTTGGCCAGGAGACGTCACAGACGCCTGGCCCCCCGGGGCCTCCGGCACAAGCTTATTAATTAGATATTTCAGACGTGGTTTAGTGGTAATTTATTGAAGGTGGAGGGGTTACCAGCCCCTCGCACCCGTCCAGAGCCCCCATTTAGCCGCTGTGGTGGCCACAGACCCCCTGAGGGGAAAGGCCAATCGGAATTGGCCCTCCACCCCACGGCACTGCCCACGACAGCGTTGCCCGTCTGGCACCACAAGGAGGTAGGGGGTTGTTTTGCCGGACCTACACCTCCTACTACACCTACCAAAACACCTGCACCTACACCTACTACTACACCTACTACTACACCTACGACTACACCTACTACTGCACCTACACCTACTACTACTACTGCTACTGCACCTACTACTACTACTGCACCTACCACAACACCTGCACCTACTACTACACCTACTACTACACCTACACATACTACTACACCTACCACAACACCTGCACCTACTACTGCACCTACACTTACTACTGCACCTACACCTACTACTACACCTACTTCTGCACCAACACCTACTACTACTACACCAACTACTACACCTACGACTGCACCTACTACTACACCTACTACTACTAGACCTATTACTACACCTACTATTACACCTACTACTACACCTACTACTACACCTACACCAACTACTACACATACTACTATACCTACTACTACACCTACACCAACTACTACACCTACTACTGCACCTACTACTACACCTACTACTGTACCTAATACTACACCTACTACTACTCCTACTACTACACCTACTACTACTGCACCTACTACAACACCTGCACCTACTACTGCACCTACACCTACTACTACACCTACTACTTCACCTACTACTATACCTCCTACTACACCTACTACTACATCTGCTACTACACCTACTACTACACCTACTACTACACCTACTACGACTACTACTGCACATACCACAACACCTGCACCTACTACTGCACCCACACCTACTACTACACCTGCACCTACTACTACACCTGCTACTACACCTGCTACTACACCTACTACTGCACCTACTACTACACCTACTACTACACCTACTACTACACCTACTACGACTACTACTGCACCTACCACAACACCTGCACCTACTACTGCACCCACACCTACTACTACACCTACTACTACACCTACTACTACACCGATTACAACTACTACACCTACACCTACTACTACTCCTACTACTGAACCTACTACTGCACCTACTACTACTACACCTTCGACTACACCTACTACACATATCAAAACACCTGCACCTACTACTGCACCTACAACTACTACTACTGCACCTACTACTACTACTACACCTACCACAACACCTGCACCTACTACTACACCAACTACAACACCTACACCTACTACTACACCTACCACAACACCTGCACCTACTACTGCACCTACACCTACTACTACACCTACTACTACACCTACTACTACACCTATTACTACACTTACTACTACACCTACACCTACTACAACTACTACACCTACTACTGCACCTGCTACTACACCTACGACTACGCTTCCTACTACACCTACCACAACACCTGCACCTACTACTGCACCTACTACTGCACCTACACCTACTACTACACCTACTACTACACCTACTACTACATTTACGACTACACCTACTACTACACCTACTACTACTACACCTACTACTACACCTACACCTACTACTGCACCTACTACTGCACCTACTACTGCACCTACACCTACTACTGCACCTACACCTACTACTACACCTACTACTACACCTACTACTACTACTGCACCTACTACTGCACCTACTACTGCACCTACACCTACTACTGCACCTACACCTACTACTACACCTACTACTACTACTACACCTACCATAACACCTGCACCTACTACTACACTTACTACTGCACCCACACCTACTACTACACCCGCACCTGCTACTACAACCTACACCGTATTATTACACCTACTACTACTTCTACACCTACACGTACTGCACCTACTACTACACCTACTACTACACCTACTACTGCACCCACAACTACTACTACACCTACTACTACACCTACTACTTCACCTACTACTAGACCCACACCTACTACTACACCTACACCGTATTACTACACCTACTACTACACCTTCACGTACTGCACCTACTACTACACCTACTACTACTACACCTACTACACCTACTACTACACCTACTACTACTACACCTACTACACCTACTACTACACCTACTACTACTACACCTACTACTACTACACCTACTACTACTACACCTACTACACCTACACGTACTGCACCTACTACTACACCTACTACTACACCTACTACTACACCTACTACTACACCTACTACTACACCTACTACTACTACACCTACTACTACACCTACACCTACTACTGCACCTACTACTGCACCTACTACTGCACCTACACCTACTACTACACCTACTACTACACCTGCACCTACTACTACTACTGCACCTACTACTGCACCTACTACTGCACCTACACCTACTACTGCACATACACCTACTACTACTACTACACCTACCATAACACCTGCACCTACTACTACACTTACTACTGCACCCACACCTACTACTACACCCGAACCTGCTACTACAACCTACACCGTATTACTACACCTACTACTACTTCTACACCTACACGTACTGCACCTACTACTACACCTACTACTACACCTACTACTGCACCCACACCTACTACTACACCTACTACTACACCTACTACTACGCCTACTACTAGACCCACACCTACTACTACACCTACACGTACTGCACCTACTACTACACCTACTACTACTACACCTACTACTACACCTACTACTACATCTACTACTACTACACCTACTACTACACCTACTACTACTACACCTACTACACCTACACGTACTGCACCTACTACTACACCTACTACTACACCTACTACTACTACACCTACTACACCTACACGTACTGCACCTACTACACCTACACGTACTGCACCTACTACTACACCTACTACTACACCTACTACTACACCTACTACTACACCTACTACTACTACACCTACTACACCTACACGTACTGCACCTACTACTACACCTACTACTACACCTACTACTACTACACCTACTACACCTACACGTACTGCACCTACTACTACTACACCTACTACTACACCTACTACTACTACACCTACTACACCTACACCTACTACTACTACACCTACTACACCTACACGTACTGCACCTACTACTACACCTACACCTACTACACCTACTACTACACCTACTACACCTACACGTACTGCACCTACTACTACTACACCTATTACTACTACACCTACTGCACCTACACGTACTGCACCTACTACTACACCTACTACTACACCTACTACTACACCTACGACTACACCTACTGCTACTACACCTACTACACCTACTACACCTACACGTACTGCACCTACTACTACTACTACACCTACTACTACACCTACTACTACTACACCTACTACACCTACTACTACTACACCTACTACACCTACATGTACTGCACCTACTACTACACCTACACCTACTACACCTACTACTACGCCTACTACTAGACCCACACCTACTACTACACCTACACCGTATTACTACACCTACTACTACACCTTCACGTACTGCACCTACTACTACACCTACTACTACTACACCTACTACTACTACACCTACTACTACTACACCTACTACACCTACTACTACTACACCTACTACTACTACACCTACTACACCTACACGTACTACACCTACTAGACCTACTACTACACCTACTACTACTACACCTACTACTACTACACCTACTACTACTACACCTACTACACCTACTACACCTACACCGTATTACTACACCTACTACTACTACTACACCTACTACTACACCTACTACACCTACACCGTATTACTACACCTACTACTACTACACCTACTACTACACCTACTACACCTACACGTACTGCACCTACTACTACTACACCTACTACACCTACTACTACACCTACTACTTCACCTACTACTAGACCCACACCTACTACTACACCTACACCGTATTACTACACCTACTACTACACCTTCACGTACTGCACCTACTACTACACCTACTACTACTACACCTACTACACCTACTACTACACCTACTACTACTACACCTACTACACCTACTACTACACCTACTACTACTACACCTACTACTACTACACCTACTACTACTACACCTACTACACCTACACGTACTGCACCTACTACTACACCTACTACTACACCTACTACTACACCTACTACTACTACACCTACTACTACACCTACACCTACTACTGCACCTACTACTGCACCTACTACTGCACCTACACATACTACTACACCTACTACTACACCTACTACTACTACTGCACCTACTACTGCACATACTACTGCACCTACACCTACTACTGCACATACACCTACTACTACACCTACTACTACTACTACACCTACCATAACACCTGCACCTACTACTACACTTACTACTGCACCCACACCTACTACTACACCCGAACCTGCTACTACAACCTACACCGTATTACTACACCTACTACTACTTCTACACCTACACGTACTGCACCTACTACTACACCTACTACTACACCTACTACTGCACCCACACCTACTACTACACCTACTACTACACCTACTACTACGCCTACTACTAGACCCACACCTACTACTACACCTACACGTACTGCACCTACTACTACACCTACTACTACTACACCTACTACTACACCTACTACTACACCTACTACTACTACACCTACTACTACACCTACTACTACTACACCTACTACACCTACACGTACTGCACCTACTACTACACCTACTACTACACCTACTACTACTACACCTACTACACCTACACGTACTGCACCTACTACTACTACTACACCTACTACTACACCTACTACTACTACACCTACTACACCTACACCTACTACTACTACACCTACTACACCTACACGTACTGCACCTACTACTACACCTACACCTACTACACCTACTACACCTACTATACCTACTACACCTACTACACCTACACGTACTGCACCTACTACTACTACACCTACTACTACTACTACACCTACTGCACCTACACGTACTGCACCTACTACTACACCTACTACTACACCTACTACTACACCTACGACTACACCTACTGCTACTACACCTACTACACCTACACGTACTGCACCTACTACTACTACTACACCTACTACTACACCTACTACTACTACACCTACTACACCTACTACTACTACACCTACTACACCTACATGTACTGCACCTACTACTACACCTACACCTACTACACCTACTACTACGCCTACTACTAGACCCACACCTACTACTACACCTACACCGTATTACTACACCTACTACTACACCTTCACGTACTGCACCTACTACTACACCTACTACTACTACACCTACTACTACTACACCTACTACTACTACTACACCTACTACACCTACTACTACTACACCTACTACTACACCTACTACTACTACACCTACTACACCTACACGTACTACACCTACTAGACCTACTACTACACCTACTACTACTACACCTACTACTACTACACCTACTACTACTACACCTACTACACCTACACCGTATTACTACACCTACTACTACTACTACTACACCTACTACTACACCTACTACACCTACACCGTATTACTACACCTACTACTACTACACCTACTACTACACCTACTACACCTACACGTACTGCACCTACTACTACACCTACTACTACACCTACTACTACACCTACTACTACACCTACTACTACTACACCTACTACACCTACACGTACTGCACCTACTACTACTACTACACCTACTACTACACCTACTACTACTACACCTACTACACCTACTACACCTACACGTACTACACCTACTAGACCTACTACTACACCTACTACTACTACACCTACTACTACTACACCTACTACTACTACACCTACTACACCTACACCGTATTACTACACCTACTACTACTACTACACCTACTACTACACCTACTACACCTACACCGTATTACTACACCTACTACTACTACACCTACTACTACACCTACTACACCTACACGTACTGCACCTACTACTACTACACCTACTACACCTACACGTACTACACCTACTACACCTACTACTACTACACCTACACCTACTACACCTACACGTACTGCACCTACTACTACACCTACTACTACTACACCTACCACTACTACACCTACTACACCTACCACAGCACCTGCACCTACTACTGCACCTACTACTACACCTACTACTACACCTACTACTACACCTACTACTACTGCACTCACACCTACTACTACACCTACACCTTATTACTACACCTACTACACCTACACGTACTGCACCTACTACACCTACTACTACTACACGTACTGCACCTACTACTACACCTCCACCTACTACACCTACACGTACTGCACCTACTACTACACCTACTACTACTACACCTACTACTACACCTACTACTACACCTACTACTACACCTACTACTACACCTACACCTACTACTACTACACCTACTACTACACCTACTACTACACCTACTACTACACCTACTACACCTACTACTACTACACCTACTACACCTACTACACCTACTACTACTACTACACCTACTACTACACCTACTACACCTACACCTACTACTACTACTACACCTACTACTACACCTACTACTACTACACTTACTACACCTACTACACCTACACCTACTGCACCTACACGTGCTGTGTGTGTGTCTGTGTTCCTGCCTGTGTAGGCGTGGGACGTAGCCGTATCAGGGACCTCGCGCTGGTGGTGTCTATCGCCGTGGGTGTGGCCGGGCTGTGGTTCGCGGTGTCACAGAATCGGAGCTACCGTGACCACATGCGCAAGGTCATCCGAGACCTGGACGGGCTGCAGAGGGCTGAGCGCAGCCTTGGGGAGCTACAGGACAAGTGAGTGGTGGTGGTGGTGGTGAGTGGTGGTGGTGAGTGGGGGTGAGTGGTGTGGTCAGTGGTGGTGAGTGGTGATGGTGAGTGGGGTGGTGGTGAGTGGTGGTGAGTGGTGGTGAGTGGGGGTGGTGAGTGGTGGTGGTGAGTGGTGGTGAGTGGAGTGGTGGTGAGTGGTGGTGAGTGGGGCTGGTGAGTGGTGGTGACTGAGGGTGGTGGTGAGTGGCGGTGGTGGTGAGTGGTGGGGGTGGTGAGTGGTGGGGGTGGTGAGTGGGGCTGGTGAGTGGTGGTGGTGGTGGTGAGTGGCTGTGTTGGTGAGTGGTGGTGGTGGTGAGTGGCTGTGGTGGTGAGTGGCTGTGGTTGTGAGTGGCTGTGGTGGTGAGTGGCGGTGTTGGTGAGTGGCTGTGGTGGTGAGTGAGGGTGGTGGTGAGTGGTGGTGGTGGTGAGTGAGTGGCTGCGGTGGTGAGTTGCGGTGGTGGTGGTGAGTGGCTGTGGTGGTGAGTGGCTGTGGTGGTGGTGAGTGGCTGTGGTGGTGGTGAGTGGCTGTGGTGGTGAGTGGGGCATGTTGAGGCTACCCTGCCGTCCACTATGATACCACCGCCCACCACCACCCCCACCCCCCCCACCACCCCCCACCACCCCCCCCCCACCACGCCCCACCACCCCCCCCCCCCCCCCCACCACGCCCCAGGCTGCACAAGGCCCAGGAGGAGAACCGCTGCTTCCAGGACGAGCGCCGTGGGCTGGAGGTGAGGATGAGCCAGGAGATGAGTGAGGCCAAGCGAGAGGCCCAGCGGCTTCGGGCTCTCCGTGCCGGTGCCGAGAACCACATCTCGGAGCGGAGATACGCAGAGAGGGAGCTGCAGCAGGTCCGTGTAGTCCACCGTAGTCACGTCCACCGTAGTCATCGTCACGTCCACCTTCGTCATGTCCACCATCGTCATCATCGTCATCATCATCACGTCCACCTTAGTCACGTCCACCGTAGTCACGTCCACCATCGTCATCATCGTCACGTCCACCGTAGTCACGTCCACCTTCGTCACATCAACCTTAGTCACGTCCACCGTAGTCACGTCCACCTTAGTCACGTCCACCGTAGTCACGTCCACCTTAGTCACGTCCACCGTAGTCACGTCCACCGTAGTCACGTCAACCATCGTCACGTCCACCGTAGTCACGTCCACCGTAGTCACGTCCACCGTAGTCACGTCAACCATCGTCATCATCGTCATCATCATCACGTCCACCGTAGTCACGTCCACCTTAGTCATGTCCACCGTAGTCACGTCAACCATCGTCATCATCATCACGTCCACCTTAGTCACGTCCACCTTCGTCACATCAACCTTAGTCATGTCCACCTTAGTCACGTCCACCTTAGTTACGTCCACCGTAGTCACGTCCACTGTAGTCACGTCCACCGTAGTCACGTCCACCGTAGTCACGTCCACCGTAGTCATCATTGTCACGTCCACCGTAGTCACGTCCACCTTCATCACATGAACCTTAGTCATGTCCACCTTAGTCACGTCAACCATTGTCACGTCCACCGTAGTAACGTCCACCGTAGTCATCATCGTCACGTCCACCGTAGTCACGTCCACCGTAGCCACGTCCACCGTAGTCACGTCCACCGTAGTCACGTCCACCGTAGTCACGTCCACCGTAGTCATCATTGTCACGTCCACCGTAGTCACGTCCACCTTCATCACATCAACTTTAGTCATGTCCACCTTAGTCACGTCCACCGTAGTCACGTCCACCGTAGTCACGTCCACCGTAGTCATGTCCACCGTAGTCATCATTGTCACGTCCACCGTAGTCACGTCCACCTTCATCACATCAACTTTAGTCATGTCCACCTTAGTCACGTCCACCGTAGTCACGTCCACCTTAGTCACGTCCACCGTAGTCACGTCCACCATCGTCATCATCATCACGTCCACCTTCGTCACGTCCACCTTCATCACATCCACCTTCGTCACGTCCACCGTCGTCATCATCATCACGTCCACCATCGTCATCATCGTCATGTCCACCATCGTCACGTCCACCATCGTCACGTCCACCGTCGTCATCATCGTCACATCCACCGTAGTCACGTCCACCATCGTCATCATCGTCATGTCCAGCATCGTCATCGTCATGTCCACCATCATCATCGTCATGTCCACCATCATCATCATCATCATCGTCATGTCCACCATCATCATCATGTCCACCATCGTCATGTCCACCACCATCATCATCATGTCCATCATCATCATCATCATCATCATGTCCATCATCATCATCGTCATGTCCACCATCATCATCATCGTCATGTCCACCATCATCATCATCATCGTCATGTCCACCACCATCATCATCATGTCCACCATCATCATTGTCATGTCCACCATCATCATCATCGTCATGTCCACCATCATCATCATCATCATCATCGTCATGTCCACCATCATCATCATCGTCATGTCCACCATCATCATTGTCATGTCCACCATCATCATTGTCATGTCCACCATCATCATCGTAATGTCCACCATCATCATCGTCATGTCCACCATCATCATTGTCATGCCCACCATCATCATCATCGTCATGTCCACCACCATCATCATCATCATCATGTCCACCACCATCATCGTCATGTCTGCCCCCTGTGTGACTCCTCCCCCTGTGTGACTCCCCCCCTGTGTGACTCCTCCCCCTGTGTGACTCCTCCCCCTGTGTGACGCCTCCCCCTGTGTGACTCCCCCTGTGTGACTCCTCCCCCTGTGTGACTCCTCCCCCTGTGTGACTCCTCCCCCTGTGTGACTCCTCCCCCTGTGTGACTCCCCCTGTGTGACTCCCCCCCCCTGTGTGACTCCCCCCCCTGTGTGACGCCTCCCCCTGTGTGACTCCCCCTGTGTGACTCCTCCCCCTGTGTGACTCCCCCCCTGTGTGACTCCTCCCCCTGTGTGACTCCTCCCCCTGTGTGATGCCTCCCCCTGTGTGACTCCCCCTGTGTGACTCCTCCCCCTGTGTGACTCCTCCCCCTGTGTGACTCCTCCCCCTGTGTGACTCCTCCCCCTGTGTGACTCCTCCCCCTGTGTGACTCCTCCCCCTGTGTGACTCCCCCTGTGTGACTCCTCCCCCTGTGTGACTCCCCCCCTGTGTGACGCCTCCCCCTGTGTGACTCCCCCTGTGTGACTCCTCCCCCTGTGTGACTCCTCCCCCTGTGTGACTCCCCCCCTGTGTGACTCCTCCCCCTGTGTGACTCCTCCCCCTGTGTGATGCTTCCCCCTGTGTGACTCCTCCCCCTGTGTGACTCCTCCCCCTGTGTGACTCCTCCCCCTGTGTGACTCCTCCCCCTGTGTGACACCTCCCCCTGTGTGACTCCCCCTGTGTGACTCCCCCTGTGTGACTCCCCCTGTGTGACTCCCCCTGTGTGACTCCTCCCCCTGTGTGACTCCCCCTGTGTGACTCCTCCCCTGTGTGACCCCCCCTGTGTGACTCCACCCCCTGTGTGACTCCCCCTGTGTGACTCCCCCTGTGTGACTCCCCCTGTGTGACTCCACCCCCTGTGTAACTCCCCCTGTGTGACTCCCCCGCCTGTGTGACTCCCCCTGTGTGACTCCTCCCCCTGTGTGACTCCTCCTGTGTAACTCCCCCCCCTGTGTGACTCCCCCCCCTGTGTGACGCCTCCCCCTGTGTGACTCCCCCTGTGTGACTCCTCCCCCTGTGTGACTCCCCCTGTGTGACTCCTCCCCCTATGTGACTCCCCCTGTGTAACTCCCCCCCCTGTGTGACTCCCCCTGTGTGACTCCTCCCCCTGTGTGACTCCCTCTGTGTGACTCCTCCCCCTGTGTGACTCCCCCCCTGTGTGACTCCCCCTGTGTGACTCCCCCTGTGTGACTCCTCCCCCTGTGTGACTCCCCCTGTGTGACTCCTCCCCCTGTGTGACTCCCCCCCTGTGTGACTCCCCCTGTGTGACTCCTCCCCCTGTGTGACTCCCCCTGTGTGACTCCTCCCCCTGTGTGACTCCCCTGTGTGACTCCCCCCTGTGTGACTCCCCCTGTGTGACTCCCCCTGTGTGACTCCCCCTATGTGACTCCTCCCCCTGTGTGACTCCCCCTGTGTGACTCCTCCCCCTGTGTGACTCCCCCCCTGTGTGACTCCCCCTGTGTGACTCCTCCCCCTGTGTGACTCCCCCTGTGTGACTCCTCCCCCTGTGTGACTCCCCTGTGTGACTCCCCCCTGTGTGACTCCCCCTGTGTGACTCCCCCTGTGTGACTCCCCCTATGTGACTCCCCCTGTGTGACTCCTCCCCCTGTGTGACTCCCCCTGTGTGACTCCCCCTGTGTGACTCCTCCCCCTGTGTAACTCCTCCCCCTGTGTAACTCCTCCCGTGTAACTCCCCCCGTGTAACTGCCCCCTGTGTAACTGCCCCCCCGTGTGACTGCCCCCCCGTGTGACTGCCCTCTGCCTTCCCCTGTGTGACTCCTCCCCCTGTGTGACTCCTCCCCCTGTGTGACTCCCCCTGTGTGACTGACCCCTGTGTAACTCCTCCCCCTGTGTGACTCCTCCCCCTGTGTGACTCCTCCCCCCGTGTGACTCCTCCCCCCGTGTGACTGCCCTGTGCCTCCCCCTGCGTGCCGCAGGTGCGCAAGGCTCTGCGCCGTGCCGAGCGCGAGTTGGAGTCGCGTCGTCGCCGCTTGGCGTGGAGCGGCGACGACGGCTCCGGCGCCGGCGGCTCCGGCATCGGCGGCGGCGGCGGCACGACCGCGGCCGCGGCGCAGCTGCAGCGGTGGCTGCAGGTGACGCACGAGGTGGAGGTGCGCTACTACGGCCTGCAGCGGCAACGCGCCGAGAAGCAGCTCAACGTGGCCAAGGAGGGGGTGAGGCGGGCGGGAAGCCGGGGTCACTCGGGGGGCACGGCACTCTGGGGCTGACCTGTTGTCACATGACCGCACGGTACCGGAGGGGGGAACGCCGCCGGGCGGGGGCCGAGGGGGCGGTCACATGGTTCCCAGGGGCTCTAGGGGAACATTCGAGAAGGAGGAGGAGCCTGGAAGGTGGGCAGGGCTGAGGGGGCGGTCACATGGTTCCCAGGGGCTCTAGGGGAACATTCGAGGAGGTGCCTGGAAGGTGGGCGGGGCTGAGGGGGTGGTCACATGGTTCCCAGGGGCTCTCGGGAACATTCGAGAAGGAGGAGGAGCCTGGAAGGTGGGCGGGGCTGAGGGGGTGGTCACATGGTTCCTAGGGGCTCTAGGGGAACTTTCGAGGAGGAGGAGGAGCCTGGAAGGTGGGCGGGGCTGAGGGGTGGTCACATGGTTCCTAGGGGCTCTAGGGAACATTCGAGGAGGAGGAGGAGCCTGGAAGGTGGGCGGGGCTGAGGGGCGGTCACATGGTTCCCAGGGGCTCTAGGGGAACATTCGAGGAGGAGGAGGAGCCTGGAAGGTGGGCGGGGCTGAGGGGGGGTGGTCACATGGTTCCCAGGGGCTCTCGGGAACATTCGAGAAGGAGGAAGAGCCTGGAAGGTGGGCGGGGCTGAGGGGTGATCACATGGTTCCCAGGGGCTCTAGGGGAACATTCGAGAAGGAGGAGGAGGAGCCTGGCAGGTGGGCGGGGCTGAGGGGCGGTCACATGGTTCCCAGGGGCTCTAGGGAACATTCGAGAAGGAGGAGCCTGGAAGGTGGGCGGGGCTGAGAGGCGGTCACATGGTTCCTAGGGGCTCTAGGAAACATTCGAGAAGGAGGAGCCTGGAAGGTGGGCGGGGCCGAAGGGCGGTTACATGGTTCCGAGGGGCTCTAGGCGAACATTTAAGAAGGAGGAGCCTGGAAGGTGGGCGGAGCTGAGGGGTGGTCACATGGTTCCTAGGGGCTCTAGGGGAACATTCGAGGAGGAGGAGCCTAGAAGGTGGGCGGGGCTGAGGGGGCAGTCACATGGTTCCCAGGGGCTCTAGGGGAACATTCGAGAAGGAGGAGAAGGAGCCTGGCAGGTGGGCGGGGCTGAGGGGCGGTCACATGGTTCCCAGGGGCTCTAGGGAACATTCAGGAAGGAGGAGCCTGGAAGGTGGGCGGGGCTGAGAGGCGGTCACATGGTTCCTAGGGGCTCTAGGAAACATTCGAGAAGGAGGAGCCTGGAAGGTGGGCGGGGCCGAAGGGCGGTCACATGGTTCCGAGTGGCTCTAGGCGAACATTTAAGAAGGAGGAGCCTGGAAGGTGGGCGGAGCTGAGGGGTGGTCACATGGTTCCTAGGGGCTCTAGGGAACATTCGAGAAGGAGGAGCCTGGAAGGTGGGCGGGGCCGAAGGGCGGTCACATGGTTCCTAGGGGCTCTACGGAACATTCGAGGAGGAGGAGCCTGGCAGGTGGGCGGGGCTGAGGGGGTGGTCACATGGTTCCCAGGGGCTCTAGGGAACATTCAGGAAGGAGGAGCCTGGAAGGTGGGCAGGGCTGAGGGGGCGGTCACATGGTTCCCAGGGGCTCTAGGGAACATTCGAGAAGGAGGAGCCTGGCAGGTGGGCGGGGGCCGAGGGCGGAGCCAGCCGCCGCCCGGGAGCAGTGCAACGACAGCTCAGCGAGGGGCCCCGTGGGTTCTTCTTCAAGCGTCGGCGTTGGAAGATCCACGGCGGGGGAGAAGAAGCCTCCGGCCGCGCGGTACCGAGACCCGGGCTCATGGCCCGGACCGGGACAGCGCGAACCGCGTCGAGTTCTGCCGTGGCGTGGCGAGGCGGGCGCTCGAGACCCGAGCGTAGTTTCGTCGTTACGTCACGTGCCGTCGCGCGAATCAACGGTGTTTCCTCCCGAGATAACGTCCGCGACTCGGTTGGTGGTTGCTAGTTACTAGCTCGCGGTCGCTAATCACTGGCTGCCGGTGGGACGCAGGCCGAGAAGATCAAGCGCAAGCGGACGACTGTGCTGGGCACCTTCCACGTGGCGCACAGCTCCTCACTGGACCACGTGGACCACCAGATCCTGGAGGCAAAGTGAGGCCATCGCCGACACCATCATCATCACCAACACCATCACCGTCGTCACCTACATCACCGTCATCATCACAGCTCCTCACTGGACTATGTGGACCACCAGATCCTGGAGGCAAAGTGAGGCCATCGCCGACACCACCATCACCATCATCACCATCACCATCATCACCTACATCATCACCTACATCACCGTCATCATCATCATCATCACAGCTCCTCACTGAACCACGTCGCCAACGTCCAATTCCGCCCGAGACTCGTCCCTCTGGCCCGCCCGCCCGCCCGCCCGTCCGCGTACCACCGGGACGGCGGGACCCGCGGGACGTCCCGGGCCTGGCTCCGGTGGGGGTGTCCCCAGTGCATCGTTGTCCCTGGCGAGGTTTTCTGATTTTGTTTTGATACTCGGTAGGGTGGTTCTTGTGTTTTGGAGCGTTGTTTGCCTGGAACCTGTCACCTCTCACCCCCCCCCCCCACCACCACCAGATGAGGTGTACAATCTTTCGCTGGGGGTGGCTGTAGATGTTGAACGAGAGTGGTGGTGGTGGTGGTGGGGAGGAGGGGGGAGGAGCCAGCCACACCGTCTCGTGGCAAGACGTCGTTTTTTTGGGGGGGAACGCCGTCTTAAGCATCACCGCCCGTTTATCACCACGTGGGAAGTGTCCTGCTCCCTCGGGGGGCTACCGGTGGTGTCCAGGGAGACCCCCAGGAGACGTGGCTGGGACGGTCGTTGGAGCGCATAAACCCCGACCACCACCACGATGAGGTTTACGATCTTTCGGTAGGGGTGGCTGATCGTTGGTGTAGATTTAACACGTAGGCTTTCGCGACCAATATTATTCATGATAAACGTTTTTGGGTTAGATCGCGTTTTTTTAAATAAATGTGTCGTAACCCTCCACCGCCCGACAAGGCCAAATAGTAAAAAAATAAAATGCGTCACGTTTACAAAAGATAAATATTGATTTCAAGCTTTCGTGACTGCAGGGATTCATATTCTTGATTCTTTCGGTAAAGTCACCACCGCGTAGAAGGGAAACAATAAAATGATAAAAATATAAAACAATAAAATTATTGTAAAACAATAAAATTATTATTCTTGGTTCTTTCGGTAAAGTCACCACCACGTAGAAGGGAACAATAAAATAATAAAAATATAAAACAATAAAATTCTCACACGACATTTCGACTGCAACACAAGAAGCAATCATCATCAGGTGTGAAAACCACAGCAAGAACATTTGAAAAAACTGCCACTTTTTTATTTTCTTGCTGTGGTTTTCACACCTGATGATGATTGCTTGTGTTGCAGTAGAAACGTCGTTTAATTGTTTCCCTTCTACGTGGTGACTTTACCGAAAGAACCAAGAATATAAAAGATAAATAGTTCACTACTTTAGCCCACCGGTGTGTTCAAGAGTGATTCAACATCATTTACAAATTTTGAGTCCGCCGTTTCGCTGGTAATTACATCCCCAGCATCATCGGGCAATTCGCCAGAATGGTGAAGCCCTCTCCACTTGCTCCCGGTCTTAAATAGAGCAGCACGGTGACGTCATCGTTTAACCCAATCTGATGCAGTGATTTCAGGCGGAGAGGGGGAGGGTAATGTAATTATATCATAGACTGGTAATCATTCAATTGTTATTAATTCCCCTATAAGGCATCGTAATTGCAATATACATTTTATTTAATAATACGCTTCCAGGCCTCGCTAAGCCTGTAGCTGTCGGGGCGATTCAAGTTACTTCTATTTCTCTCCATTTCAATGGTTTCCCTAATGAGTCTTGGCCAGCGATGATTCGTTTTGCACCGACACTGCAGCGTTATCAAAATCAACTGAGCGCAGACGTTGAATGAGAATCGGAAGGAAGCAGCAACACCGCCTCGCGCCAAGACGCCCGTTTTGGCGGCGCCGCGTGCCTGGCGTCTTACCGGCGGTCGAGGCCCCAGGCCGGCGGTTTGCGGCTCCGTGGCTCGGGATGCCTTCGCCGACCGGCCGGGCCCAGGCCGGCGAAGGCATCCCTCGGCGGCCGCCCCGCGGGGCGCCGTCCGCCCCGGGGTTTTTAAGTCGCTCGGTGGGTGACGTGCGCAGGGGGGATCTGGCCCACCGGGCAGCCCGCTTGCGGCTCGTGCGCGGTCGCGAGGGTTCGAGCCGGCGGGCGAGACGGGCCGTGGGAGTTTGTTTTTGCGACGCTCGGGGGAAGGGAGGCGAGGGGAGGGAGGAGAGGGAGGGAGGGGAGGGAGGGAGGGAGGGAGGGAGGGGGGGGAGGGAGGGAGGGAGGGAGGGTGAGAGGGAGGGAGGGTGAGAGGGAGGGTGAGAGTGAAGGGAGTGAGGGATGGAGGGGATGGAGGGAGGGAGGGAGGGGAGGGAGGGAGGGAGGGAGGGCGAGAGGGAGGGAGGGAGGGAGGGTGAGAGTGGAGGGAGTGAGGGATGGAGGGGAGGGAGGGAGGGAGGGAGGGAGGGGAGGGAGGGAGGGGAGGGAGGGAGGGAGGGTGAGAGTGGAGGGAGTGAGGGATGGAGGGGAGGGAGGGAGGGAGGGAGGGAGGGAGGGAGGGAGGGAGGGAGGGAGGGGGGGGAGGGAGGGAGGGGAGGGAGGGAGGGTGAGAGGGAGGGAGGGAGGGGAGGGAGGGTGAGAGTGAAGGGAGTGAGGGATGGAGGGAGGGAGGGAGGGAGTGAGGGAGGGGAGTGAGTGAGATTGGTTTGGCGATGAAAGTTCCTTTGCCCGCCCCGGGAACGGCTGTGGACTCTGGCCTCCCTCCATTGTGACGGTGTCCGTCTAGCTCGCCAGAGATGCGTCGGGAGCAAGGTCAAGGAGAGCCGTCGCTCGGCAGTGGCTCGGAGCCATTCCATCGCCGTCACAGGCTCGCCGCATTCCTCTGTTCAAGTAGGCCTCTGCCGGCCATCAGATCCTCCATCGTGAATGGCTCCTCCCCCTCCTCCCCTCCCCCCCTCCTCCCCCCTCCTCCCCCCTCCTCCCCCCTCCTCCCCCTCTCCTCCCCCCTCCTCTCCTCCCTCCTCCTCCCCTCCCCCCCTCCTCCCCTCTCCTCCCCCCTCCTCTCCTCCCCCCTCCCCTCCTCCCCACTCCTCCCCCCTCCTCCCCTCCCAACTTCTTCTTCCTCCTCCCCTCCCCCCTCCCCCCCCATCCCCCCTCCCCCCCCTCCCCCCCCCCCCCCGCCCCCCCCCCCCCAGGAAGTCCCTGGCCGAGGTGACGAGTGCCCTGCGTGAGCGTCTCCGCCGTTGGCAGCGCATCGAGACGCTCTGCGGCTTCCCCATCGTGCACAACCCCGGCATGGGCGCCCTGCTCGCCGCGCTCGCCGCCGACGACGCCGCCAGTGCCGGTGCCACCGCCGGTGCCACCGCCGGTGCCGGTGCTGCCGGCAAGGCGCCCCCCCCCCGCCGCAGCAGCAGCGGCGGGGGGGGGGCGCCGGCGGCCGGTGCCGGCGGTGTTGCCTACCCGACGACGGAGGACGAGGATGTTGACGACGACGACGACGACGATGATGGCGGCACCGGCGGCGGCACCGGCGGTGGCACCACCGCGCCGAGTCCCGGGTCTCCACCGTCGTACGCCTGTGAGTACCGGTTTGGTGGTGGCGAAAGGCGGTGGTGGTGGTGGTTGTGGTTGTTGTGTTCCCTTGTGCGTGTACCTATGTACGTGTGTGTACCTACCTACGTGTGGGCGTGTACCTACATGTGTGTGTACCTACGTACGTGTGTGCGTGTACGTGTGTACGTGTACGTGTGTGTGTACCTACGTGTGTGTGTACCTACGTGTGTGTACCTACGTACGTGTGTGTGTACCTACCTACGTGTGTGCATGTACGTGTGTGCATGTACGTGTGTGTGTACCTACCTACGTGTGTGCGTGTACGTGTGTGCATGTACATGTGTGTGTACCTACGTACGTGTGTGTGTGTACGTGTGTGTGTACCTACGTAAGTGTGTGTACCTATGTACGTGTGTGCGTGTACGTGTGTGTTCACGTGTGGCCACGTGGAATGTCCGAACGCTCACTGCGGAGGAGAGGCTGCCGCGCCTCTGTCTGGAGCTGGACCGGCACCACCTCTGGCTGCAGTCACTTCACGTAACGGCCTCGAAGTGCCACCTAGCCTGGCACGGGCGCCTCGCTGAACCCGTGTGTGTGTGTGTGTATGTTGAACCCGTGTGTGTGTGTGTGTGTTGAACCCGTGTGTGTGTGTTGAACCCGTGTGTGTGTGTTGAACCCGTGTGTGTGTGTGTGTGTTGAACCCGTGTGTGTGTGTGTTGAACCCGTGTGTGTGTGTGTTGAACCCGTGTGTGTGTGTGTGTTGAACCCGTGTGTGTGTGTTGAACCCGTGTGTATGTGTTTTGAACCCGTGTGTGTGTGTGTTGAACCCGTGTGTGTGTGTGTTGAACCCGTGTGTGTGTGTGTGTGTGTGTTGAACCCGTGTGTGTGTGTTGAACTCGTGTGTGTGTGTGTGTTGAACCCGTGTGTGTGTGTGTGTGTTGAACTCGTGTGTGTGTGTGTGTGTTGAACCCATGTGTGTGTGTGTGTTTGTTGAACCCGTGTGTGTGTGTTGAACCCGTGTGTGTGTGTGTGTTGAATCCTCGCGGTGCCGGACGGGCAACTCTGTCGTGGACAGTGCTGTGTGGGGAGGGCCAATTCCGATTGACTCCTCCCCTCATGGCGTCTGTGACCACCACAGGGGCTAAACGGGGGCTCTGGACGGGTGCGAGGGGCTGGTAACCCCTCCACCTTCAAAAAATTACCACGAAACTACGACTTAAATATGTAACTAATAAGCTTTTGCCGGAGGCCCCGGGGGAACAGGCGTCTATGACGTCTCCTGGCCAAACCCCAATTGGCAGAGCCAGGAGATTGAATCTCTACCCTTGGGGCTCCTCCAGAAAAAAACAAAAAGCCACTTTGTTTGGCCACGTGGAATGTTCGAACGCTCACTGCGGAGGAGAGGCTGCCACTCCTCTGTCGGGAGCTGGACCGGTACCGCCTGGATCTCTGTGGCATTCAGGAGGTCCGGTGGACCGGTTATGGCTCCTGCCACCATGAGGGGTGGACAGTCCTCTACTCGGGGCAGCAGACTGTCAATCAACAGGGTGTGGCTCTTCTTATGAACAAAAGAATGAAGGGGGCTTGGGAGCGTGGCGGTGAGGTGTGGGAAGCTGTAAGCCCCAGGCTACTCTGGGCTCGCCTTCCCATCAATCAGAGGCGAGGATTGGTGGTCGTGGTTACTTATGCCCCCACCGAAGACGAACATCCGTGGAGGGATGCAGGCAAAGCCGATGAGTCAGATGCCTTCTATGACCTCCTGTCACAGGTGCTGGCTAAAGTGGCCCCTCGGGATAGAGTCATCTTGTTGGGTGACTTCAATGCCCGAGTTGGTCATGATGCTGGCACCTGGTCTGGAGTGACTGGTGGGCATGGGCCGGATCAGCTCAATAACAACGGTAGGAGGCTGCTATATTTTTGTGCAGCCCATGGGCATGTAATTACCAACACACTGTTCCGGCATCGGCGCATCCACACAACATCATGGATGCATGCCGGGTCCAAGCAAGAACATCTGCTGGACTACATAGTGACGGACCAGCGGATGCGAGCCCATGTCCTTGACACCAGGACCTACCATGGAGCTGATCTGCCCTCTGACCATCGACTTGTCATCTGTAAGATGCGCCTGCCATTCTTCCGCTACGGTGGTGGGTGTACACCCAGGACCCCATTCCAACCAAAAGTGGCCTGGTCTCAGTTATCTGATAAAATTTGCAAGCGAGAATTTCATCATCGCCTGCGGCTGGGGTTGGCATCGTCCCCCACTCCTCCTGATGTCGAGGGTAAATAGGCGAGGTTTAGGACTGTGACTCATGCAGCTGCAATGGCTGCTTTGGGTACGCGGTCCAGACCTCCCCAGAGACCCTGGCTGACAGAGGAGGTGTTCAGGATGGTTGAGAAAAAGCGACAGGCCCACTGTCATCGGCTACAGAATCCAACATCAGAGAATGAGGAGGCTTACTGCAGCCTTCACTCGGAGGTTCGGAGAGCCGTGAGGCACTGCAAGGATGGGTGGTGGTCGCGGGTTGCTGAGGAGATGGAGTCTGCCTCAGTGGCCCGCGATCACAAATCTCTATTTAACTCCATCAAAAAAGTAACCTTCAGCGCCACACCTATTACCATCATTAGGGGAAAGAACGGTGATCCAATCTCCGACCCCCAGGAACAGGTTTGCTGATTTGCTGAGCATTTCTGTGAGGTCCTGGGGGAGGGAAAATCCCTCAGCCAGGAAAACATTGGGGCACAAAGTGAGGATGACCTTGCTGAGGCTGCAGTGCCTCAAATATTGGAAGAAGTCACCCCCTGTGAGTGGCTGGCTGAGGTGCCATCTGTTGAGGAAGTACTGAAGGCGATCCGGAGTCTGAGACCAGAAAAGGCAGCGGGCAGAGATGATCTCCCAAGCGAAATGCTGAGGGAGGATGGCGTTTGTGCACAGACTGCCCTATATGACATCATAACAACAGTCTGGACCACTGGACGGATTCCGCAGGATTGGAAGGATGCCCTGGTGGTCCCCCTCTTTAAGAACGGGGACCGCACAGACTGTAACAACTACAGGGGCATCTCACTCCTCAATGTGCAGGGAAAGTGCCTGGCAAGGATTATTCAACATCGCCTTGCGAGGCACGCTGAGGAGAGGCTTGCGGAACCCCAATGCGGTTTCAGGAAAGGGCGGTCCTGCACAGATGCCATATTTTCTGTCCGTCTGTTACAGCAGAGGTGTAGGGAATTCCAGCAAGACCTACATCTCTGCTTTATTGACCTGGTCAAGGCCTATGATACCATCAGTAGGCCTGGGCTCTGGGTTGTTCTTCGTGCCTTCGGAGTCCCTGACCCACTGCTCAAGATCATTAAAGACCTTCATGATGGTGAGCGGGCCCAGGTAAAACTTCGTGGCCGGGAGTCCGAGCCATTCCCTGTACACCGTGGGGTGCGACAGGGATGTCCTCTGGCTCCCACATTGTTTAACATATATTTTGACCACGTAGTTCATGAAGCCTTCAATATCTGTACCGGGGGAATCTCCATATGGTACAGATATAATGGGAGGCTGATCGATGCCCGGGTGCGGTCAAAGGGTGGCTCCCTATTGCTCAACCACGTTATGTATTCCGATGATTTGGTAATAGCTGCTCATTCAGAGGAGGAGTTGGAAACGCTGCTGCTGAGACTGGAGCGTGCCACTAAGAGATGGGGCCTTACCATCAGCCCCACCAAAACTAAGCACCTGGCTGGGTATTTTGTACCATCGGACACTCCACCCCCACAACTCCCAATCGGTGATGGGGCAGTTGTGGAGAGAGTGGAGAGTTTCCCTTACCTGGGCAGTGTGCTTATGACTGGCTCCAGTTTAACAGCAGAGGTCTCACTCCGAATCAGTCGAGCGGCAATATCTTTTCATCGGTTGCGTAACGCTGTGTGGAAGCTACCTGGTCTGTTGCTCCGAACTAAGCTTCAGGTCTTCACGGCCACGGTCATTCCCATCCTTCTCTACGCTTGCAAAACGTGGACCCCCCTAATGGAACATCTTCACCAGTTAGAAACATTTAGGCTGGCCTGCCTACGATCCATCCTGGGTTTAACCAGGCTGGATTGTGTAAGGAGCTCACAAATCCTTGAAAGATCTGGGCAAGGTCCCATCGGTGAGCTCCTCCGGCAGGCAAAGCTGCGATGGCTGGGTCATGTAGCCCTCATGCCCAGCCAACGCATGCCGAAACAGCTTTTGTTCGGCCGGATCGAGGGGGCTAAACGGACGCGGTCGGACTAGAGAAGAGATGGAGTGATGTGGTACAGGAGGACGTGGAGCTGAGTGGACTTGCGAATGACTGGTACCAGCGGTGTAAAGATGGGCCTCTGTGGAGGAGGCTCGTGAAGGACACTACTGGGCAGTTGGAGGTAGTCGCCCTCCAACAACAACGGAGGGCCGAGGAGCGACGCTCACAACAACGAGCGGAGCGCCGGGTGGCGAAAGCACAGCAGGTTGGCACAGTAGGGGGCACAGGTGGTGCATCAGCCAGTCATCTCAGTCAGTCGACCCGTGGCACTTGGGTCTGCCCCGTGACCTGCCAGCGGGCGTTCGATACTTCACGAGGCCTCAAGGTGCACATGGCCTGGCACAAGCATCGTGGTGATCTCACCGCCACTTAGTGGCGAATGGCGGTTGTTGTGTTGAACCCGTGTGTGTGTGTTTTGAACCCGTGTGTGTGTGTTGAACCCGTGCGTGTGTGTGTGTGTTGAACCCGTGTGTGTGTGTGTTGAACCCGTGTGTGTGTGTGTGTTGAACCCGTGTGTGTGTGTGTGTGTTGAACCCTTGTGTGTGTGTGTGTGTTGAACCCTTGTGTGTGTGTTGAACCCGTGTGTGTGTGTGTTGAACCCGTGTGTGTGTGTATTTAACTCGTGTGTGTGTATTGAACCCGTGTGTGTGTGTGTGTTGAACCCGTGTGTGTGTGTGTGTTGAACCCGTGTGTGTGTGTGTGTTGAACCCGTGTGTGTGTTGAACCCATGTGTGTGTGTGTTGAACCCGTGTGTGTGTGTTGAACCCGTGTGTGTTGAACCCATGTGTGTGTGTGTGTTGAACCCGTGTGTGTGTGTGTGTTGAACCCGTGTGTGTGTGTGTGTTGAACCCGTGTGTGTGTGTGTGTTGAACCCGTGTGTGTGTGTATTTAACTCGTGTGTGTGTATTGAACCCGTGTGTGTGTGTGTGTTGAACCCGTGTGTGTGTGTGTGTTGAACCCGTGTGTGTGTGTGTGTTGAACCCATGTGTGTGTGTGTGTGTTGAACCCGTGTGTGTGTGTATTTAACTCGTGTGTGTGTATTGAACCCGTGTGTGTGTGTGTGTGTTGAACCCGTGTGTGTGTGTGTGTTGAACCCGTGTGTGTGTGTGTGTTGAACCCGTGTGTGTGTTGAACCCATGTGTGTGTGTGTTGAACCCGTGTGTGTGTGTTGAACCCGTGTGTGTTGAACCCGTGTGTTTGTGTGTTGAACCCGTGTGTGTGTGTGTGTGTTGAACCCGTGTGTGTGTGTGTTGAACCCGTGTGTGTGACAGCGTCTCTCCCCCCCCCTCACCCTCACCTACTGAACAAGAGCTTCAGACGATTGTGAATTCCTCCAGTCACGAAAGCTTTAGGTCAAGAGCTTCATGGCTCATCGGATTTTTCTCCTCCAGCAATGAATAAATATTCTGATTCTCCCCCCCTCCCCCCCTCCCCCCCCCCCAGTCCCCGCCCGCTCGCCCCCCCCCTTGCTGCGAAGTCGCTCATCGGTGGACTCCTCCTCGTCCGTGTGCTCGCTCACGCCGGAGTCTCCCACCACAGCGGGGGGAGGGGGTGGGGACACCCCTCCCCCCCCTCCCCCCCCCCCACGGCGGGGGGGGGGGGACCTCCCCACCATAGCCCAAGGGACCCCCCCCGCAGCCCGGCCGAGATGGCGACGCAACCGATGGCAACGGTGCACACGGCAACGGGACACGTGGCAACGGGGCACGTGGCAACGGGACACACGGCAACGGTGCTCACGGCAACGGGACACACGGCAACGGGACACACGGCAACGGGACACGTGGCAACGGGGCGCGTGGCAACGGGGCACGTGGCAACGGGGCACACGGCAACGGGACACACGGCAACGGTGCTCACGGCAACGGGACACACGGCAACGGTGCACACGGCAACGGGACACGTGGCAACGGGGCGCACGGCAACGGGGCGCGTGGCAACGGGACACACGGCAACGGGACACACGGCAACGGGACACACGGCAACGGGGCGCCCGGCAACGGGGCGCGTGGCAACGGTGCACACGTCGCCGGACAGCGGAGCTGTTCACTTCACGGCCAATCGGTGAGCGGGTGGGTGAGCGGGTGGGTGAGTGGGTGGGTGGGTGATTGGTGGGTGAGTGGGTGGGCGAGTGAGTGGGTGAGTTGGTGTGTGAGTGAGTGAGTGAGTGGGCGGGTGAGTGGGTGGGTGAGTGGGTGGGTGGGTGAGTGTGTGAGTGGGTGAGTGAGTGGGTGGGTGGGTGGGTGGGCGAGTGGGTGGGCGAGTGGGTGGGTGAGTTGGTGGGTGAGTCAGTGGGCGAGTGGGTGGGCGAGTGGGTGGGCGAGTCGGTGGGCGAGTTGGTGGGTGAGTGAGTGGGTGAGTGGGTGGGTGATTGGGTGGGTGAGTGGGTGGGCGAGTTGGTGGGCGAGTTGGTGGGTGAGTCAGTGGGTGGTTGGTGGGTGGTTGGTGGGTGATTGGGTGGGTGATTGGGTGGGTGAGTGGGTGGGTGATTGGGTGGGTGAGTGGGTGGGTGATTGGGTGGGTGATTTGGTGGGTGAGTGGGTGGGTGATTGGGTGGGTGAGTGGGTGGGTGATTGGGTGGGTGAGTGAGTGGGTGAGTGGGTGGGTGATTGGGTGGGTGAGTGGGTGGGTGATTGGGTGGGTGATTGGGTGGGTGAGTGGGTGGGCGAGTTGGTAGGCGAGTTGGTGGGCGAGTTGGTGGGGTGGTTTGGGCCGAGCGAGCGGGTGAGCGAATGCGTGAGTGTTTTGTCGATCTGTCAAAGGCCTTCGACACAGTCGACGTGGGGGGGGGGGGGGGTGGGGGGGGGGGGGGGGGGGTGGGGGGGTTGGGAGTTTCCGTGGGAGCGTTTCTTCTGGAGTTTGGCCCCCTCCAGGAGGACGCCTCGTTGTCCCGCGTCACCTTCCATCGGGTGGACGACGTCACGGGCGACCGTAGCGAGGGCACGAGTCCCCCGGGGGGCCCCCCCTCTCAGGGCGCACGCTAGGTTGGGGGGAGGATGCCCCCTTGCCCCGACGCTCTTCAAGATCTTCCCCACGGCTTCGAGGCTGGGCGGGTCGGCGTTTTTTGACGTCGCCGGCGCAGGTGACAATCGGTAGCCTGCCCATCCGGGGGGCCCTCCTGGCGCGTCCGAAACACGCGCCACGAGGCCCGGCGGTGCGAGCCTCGCGGCCGCTGCAGGTGCGCCCGAACGGTCGGGGGTCGCCCCCACGGCGAACGTGGCGGAGGCCGGAGCAGGCAGGTGCCAGTGGAGCGTCGACGGGACCCCCCATCCCCTCGCGTCCGCCGCGCCCCTTCGCCGGTCTTCGAGAAGCCCGCCGGCTCCGCAGTGGCATCCTTCACGTGCCCGGGCCGGTTTTTTTGTGCGTGCCGCTGAGAGGGGGGAATTGGCGTAAGCGGGCGAAGGACGTCTTCTTTCGGCGGGCTCGGAGAAGTGGTTTCCCTCGGCTCCACGCCGAGGGACACGTGGCCAGCAGTCCACTCGCACTGCAGGCTGACTCCCCCTGTCATTACCTCCCATGGCCACCAGTCCACTCACACTGCAGGCTGACTCCCCCTGTCACTACCTCCCGTGGCCACCAGTCCACTCGCACTGCAGGCTGACTCCCCCTGTCACTACCTCCCGTGGCCACCAGTCTACTCACACTGCAGGCTGACTCCCCCTGTCATTACCTCCAGTGGCCACCAGTCCACTCACACTGCAGGCTGACTCCCCCTGTCATTACCTCCCATGGCCACCAGTCCACTCACACTGCAGGCTGACTCCTCCTGTCACTACCTCCCGTGGCCACCAGTCCACTCACACTGCAGGCTCCCGTGGCCACCAGTCCACTCACACTGCAGGCTGAACTCCCCCTGTCATTACCTCCCGTGGTCACCAGTCCACTCACACTGCAGGCTGACTCCCCTGTCACTACCTCCCGTGGCCACCAATCCACTCACACTCCAGACTGACTCCTCTGTCATTACCTCCCGTGGCCAACAGTCCACTCACACTGCAGGCTGACTCCCCCTGTCACTACCTCCCGTGGCCACCAGTCCACTCGCGCTGCAGGCTGACTCCCCTGTCACTACCTCCCGTGGTCACCAGTCCACTCACACTGCAGGCTGACTCCCCTGTCACTACCTCCCATGGCCACCAGTCCACTCGCACTTCAGGTTGACTCCCCCTGTCACTACCTCCCGTGGCCACCAGTCCACTCACACTGCAGGCTGACTCCCCTGTCACTACCTCCCGTGGCCACCAGTCCACTCACACTCACAGCTGACTCCCCTGTCACTACCTCCCGTGGTCACCAGTCCACTCACACTGCAGGCTGACTCCCCTGTCACTACCTCCCATGGCCACCAGTTCACTCACACTGCAGGCTGACTCCCCTGTCATTACCTCCCGTGGTCACCAGTCCACTCACACTGCCGGCTGACTCCCCCTGTCATTACCTCCCGTGGCCACCAGTCCACTCACACTGCAGGCTGACTCCCCCTGTCACTACCTCCCGTGGCCACCAGTCCACTCACACTGCAGGCTGACTCCCCCTGTCATTACCTCCCGTGGCCACCAGTCCACTCACACTGCAGGCTGACTCCCCTGTCATTACCTCCCGTGGCCACCAGTCCACTCACACTGCAGGCTGACTCCCCTGTCATTACCTCCCGTGGCCACCAGTCCACTCACACTGCAGGCTGACTCCCCTGTCATTACCTCCCATGGCCACCAGTCCACTCACACCGCAGGCGGACTCCCCCTGTCATTACCTCCCGTGGCCACCAGTCCACTCACACTGCAGGCGGACTCCCCCTGTCATTACCTCCCGTGGCCACCAGTCCACTCACACTCTAGGCTGACTCCCCTGTCACGTTGGTGGGTGGGTGAGTGGGTGAGCGAGCGAGTTGGTGAGCGAGCGGGTGGGTGGGTGAGCGAGCGAGTTGGTGAGTGGGTGGGTGGGTGAGCGAGCGAGTTGGTGAGCGTTGGGTGGGTGAGCGAGCGAGCGAGTTGGTGAGTGGGTGGGTGGGTTGGTGGGTGGGTGAGCAAGCGGGTGGGTGGGTGAGCGGGTGAGCGAGCGAGCGAGTTGGTGAGTGGGTGGGTGGGTTGGGTGACCGAATTGGTTGATCTTAACGGATTGATGATTTATCCTTCTCCTCTACCCCACCACTACCTCTCTACCCCACCACTACCCCCTCTACCCCCCTCTACCCCCCCACGACCCCCCCCACTACCCCCTCTACCCCCCCACTACCCACTCTACCCCCCACTACCCCCATCTCCCCATGCGTGCGGCATGAAGGAGCGAAGCTTCCACCTCCACCTCCACCACCGCCGCCACCACCTCCGCCGCTCCCGCCTCCTCCATGTCCACCTCCTCCTCCTGCTCCTCGCTCTCCTCCTCGCTGGGCCGCCGCTGCGACGAGGTGACCGCGCCGCTCTCCCGGCCCACAACCCTCTTCAGCCTGCTGACGCGGGCCCACAGCGCCGTTGCTGGCAGTGGTGGTGGTGGCGGTGGTGGCGGTGGTGGCGGTGGTGGCGGTGGCGGTGGTGGCGGTGGTGGTGGTGGTGATGCCGCTGCCGCTTACCAGCAGCAGCAGCTGATGATGAGGTTGACCGGTGAACAGCAGCAGCAGATGAAGCTGACCAGTCAACAGCAGCAGCTGCAGCAGCAGCAGCAGCTGCAGCAGCTGCAGCAGCACCAACAGCAGCTACAACAACAACAGCAGCACCAACAGCTACAGCAACAGCAGCACCAACAGCAGCTACAACAACAACAGCAGCACCAACAGCAGCAGCGGCAGCAGCAGGCAAACGGTGGAGCGGTGGTGGCGGTGCAGCAGAGACGAGACAGCGCCTCGTCCATGAAGTGGAGACTCTCTGTGCATCAGCAGCAGCATCAGCAGCAGCAGCAGCATCATCATCAGCAGCAGCAGCATCAGCAGCAGCATCAGCAGGTGACTCGGGGTGCTGCTGGTGGGGTGCCACCGGACGTGATTCGGAAGGCGCCCTCCTACGTGGAGGAGCGCTCCATCACATCGTCGACTCCCAACGCCACCACCACCACCACCACCACCGCCACCACCGCCACCACCAACTCGTCGTCGTCATCGTCGTCATCGTCGTCCAGCACGGGCGAGGAGGTGGAGGCGTCGCAGCCCAAGAAGATCTCCGTCAAGTTACGCAAACTCATGCATAGGAAGAAGAAGTAATGGGGGAGGTGGTGGTGGTAAAGGTGGTGCTGGTGGTGGTGGTAAAGGTGGTGGTGGAGGTGGTGGTGGTAAAGGTGGTGGTGGTGGTGCTGGTGGAGGTGTTGGTGGTGGAGGTGTTGGTGGTGATGGTGGTGATGGTGGTGGTGGTAATGGTGGTGGTGGTGGTGGAGGTGGTAAAGGTGGTGGTGGTGGTGGTGGTGCTGGTGGAGGTGTTGGTGGTGGAGGTGGTGATGGTGGTGATGGTGGTGGTGGTAATGGTGGTGGTGGTGTTGGTGGTAAAGGTGGTGGTGGTGATGGTAAAGGTGGTGGTGGTGTTGGTGTTGGTGGTGGTGAAGGTGGTGGTGGTAAAGGTGGAGGTGGTGGTGGTGGTGGTGGTGGTGATGGTGGAGGTGGTGCTGGTGGTGCTGGTGGAGGTGGTGCTGGTGGTGGTGGAGGTGGTGGTGTTGGTGTTGGTGGTAAAGGTGGTGGTGGTGGAGGTGGTGGTGTTGTTGATGGAGGTGGTGATGGAGGTGGTGGTGGAGGTGGTGATGGTGGTGGTGGTGGAGGTGGTGATGGTGGTGGTGGTAAAGGTGGTGGAGGTGGTGGTGTTGGTGATGGAGGTGGTGGTGGTGATGGTGGTGGTGGTGGTGGAGGTGGTGGTGGTGGTGGTGGTTGTGGTGGTGGTGGTGAAGGTGGTGGTGGTGTTGGTGATGGTAGTGGTGATGGTGGTGGTAAAGGTGGTGGTGGTGGAGGTGGTGATGGTGGTGGTGGTGAAGGTGATAGTGGTGGTGGTGATGGTAGTGGTGGTGGTGGAGGTGGTGATGGAGGAGGTGGTGGTGGTGGTGATGGTAGTGGTGATGGTGGTGGTAAAGGTGGTGGTGGTGTTGGTGATGGTAGTGGTGGTGGTGGTGGTGAAGGTGGTGGTGGTGGTGGTGGTGATGGTGGTGGTGATGGTGGAGGTGATGGTGGTGGTGATGGTGGAGGTGATGGTGTTGGTGATGGTAGTGGTGGTGGTGGTGAAGGTGGTGGTGGGATTGTCAATTGTGCAACTCCTACAACCGCTGCAAGGGCTGCAACTCCTGCAACCGCTGCAACTCCTGCAACCGCTGCAATTAATGCAACTGATATAGCTGCTGCAACCCCTGCAACCACTGCAACTAATGCAACTCCTGCAATTGATGTAACTAATTGAACTCCTGCAACTTTTGCTACTGATGCAAAGCTACAACTGCCGCAACTCCTGCAACCGCTGCAACTCGTGCAGATATTCTTTTCGTCTCGCTACAGCTCCTGTGCAACTGCTGCAACCGCTGCAACCGCTGCAACTCATGCGGCTACTTCCGTCTGCCGCAACTCCCGTGCAACTGACCCCCATTAGTGCAACTGCCACAACTTGATGCAACTCCTGAAGCTTCTTCCTTCTGCTGCAACTCCCGCGCAGACGGTGCAACCGGTGCAACCGGTGCAACCGGTGCAACCGGTGCAACTGCCGCAACCGCTGCAACTCCTTGCGGCTTTCTTCCATCTGCTGCCTCTCCCGTGCAACTAAGTGCAACCAGCGCAACTGGTGCAACCGCTGCAATCGCCGCAACCGCTGCAACTCCTGCAGCTAGTTCCGTCTGCTGCAACCCTCACGCAACTGATGCAACTGGTGCAACTGATGCAACCGGCTGCAACCGCTGCAACTTCTGCAGCTACTTCCGTCTGCCGCAACTCCCGCGCAACCGACGCAACCGGTGCAACCGTTGCAACCGGTGCAACCGGTTTAACCGCTGGCACCGCCGCCGCCACCGCCGCCCCTTCCGTGGGGAG